TCACCCTGGCTGGTGTGGCTCAGTGGATTGAGTGCCGAACTGTGGACCAAAAGGTTGGCGGTTTGATTTCCCAGTCAGGGCACAGGCCTGGGTTGCGGGCCATGTCCCCAGCTGGGCGTGCGTGAGAGGCAGCCTATCGATGTATCTATTGTGCATCGATGTTTCTCTTCCTCTCTTTCTCCCTCCTTTCTCTAGAAATAATAAAATCTTTAAAAAAAAAAAAAAAAAAGAGAAAGAAACTGCTTGTTTGCAGAGCCCAGCCCAGGGAAAAGATCAATTAGCTTCAGGAAAAATGGAAACTGTGAAACCATTGGCAGTAGGCAGGGTGTGCAGGGTGTGATGACGACACCGGGCCGAGGGGTCGCTGGGGTCCAGGGCGGACCCAGCGGCATTCTGGGGCCAGCTGCGGACACCAAGCTCCACCTCAGCCTTTCCGGCCGTCCCACGTGTCGTAAGGTCTAGCCCAGGGAGGAACGGGTGCGAAGGAACCATACTCCCGTGAAACAAGGCCAGGCGCCCAGAGGACCACTGCTGACCGCCAGAGAGGGTGATTCATGTCCCCAGACCTGCCGTGCGTGGTCCGTGTGGTGACAGCTCTCCAGGGCTGAGATGAGAAGCGGGAGAAAACCCCCCCTTTTTGGAACTGTGCCATCTGAAAGTTCTCAGGGATTGTTAGTACAGCAGGCCCAGGGGATTTGGTTAGAGACAATTACAATCTTACTAAAAAGATTAAAATATCTAGTCACCGTGGGGTGGCTTCCACTCTAAGTAGACAGTGATATATAGAGAGAGCTGCCTCTCAATATATAATGAAGCCGAAGAACAATACAAGTGTGCCGTCCACATATATCATTTCCATCACCCTGGAAGAGTCCCCGCTTAGGCAGCAGGGTGCTGGGAAATGGTCACCAAACAGCGCTTTGAAAAAAACAATGTACGTGTGAGTGTATGTTTGTTATAAATTTTGCCTGTATAAAAGTGGTAGGAAACACAATTCACAAATAATAATAAAACACACAATACTCTTTACTATAAATTCTATATAGTCAATTTTCAAGGACTGCTTTTGTTGATTTTTACCCAGTTCTCACATATGTAGCCCACTCACAGTTGCTACTGATCAACCACAGAGCACTGATGTGAATGTTTACATCAATGAGCGACGCAAATGTGAAACATCTTTGTATGTGGAAACCTCACTTGGATAAATCAGATAATAGTTTTCAAATCATGACAGAATATTTCCTCGAGTTTTTGTGCCATTCTTAATGTAATGGCTACAGACACACCTTTCAATCTGCAGTATTAACATTTTCCCCATCATTTTCTTAAGTCTAGGTAATCAACAAAATAATCAAGTCCTTTTTCGTAGTATTTGCTGATTAGTAGTTTTTGCTGATTTCCATGGTATAACTTGTCCTATAGCAGCCAATTTCAAGCCACCAATGTGATGTCACTGAAGAAAGTTGGAAAAAGGAACAGTAGCTGATCATTATATAGTATTTCCACCATACGGGTCCAGAGGACATAAGTAACCTCCAGAGCAAAGATAATATAGTAAAATAATTGGGAAGTGGTAAAATTTGAGTATCTGTTACTTTCGTTTTTTATACAATTTAATTGCAAGTGATAGATTTTTTTTTTTTTTTTTTTTTTTTTTTTTTAAGGATTGCTGTTTCACAACCTGAAAATTTAACAATCAGCTCTCACGAGCCAGCACACCCCTGGCTGGGAGCCTTGTGCAGACGATGGTATCCAATATATAAAAATGTTTTACATAAGGAAAAGGTAAAAATACAGAACACTTTATGAATTCTCAGGGTAAAATCTTTCATTTCTTAACATGTTAGGAAAGTAATGCTTCAACCCCCCCAGCAGACTGGAAAGAGAAAAGCTGGCCCGTGTGGCCGCATTTCGGAAGCGGGCTGCTAAGGCCATAAGCCTGGAAGGACAGGGTGAGAGCTATCGGGCACCCAGAAGCAGGACCCAATTCCTGCCTCAGAGCTCCCAACATAGGCTTTTTTCCAAAAATGTTTTTAATTCCAACATCCATCTTAATGGCTTACGGTAGACTCATTTAGCCAGTACTTGTTAAACTAAAAATAGAAGCTAATGATTTCAGCTAAAAACAACTAAGCCGGCGCTATCAAAGTATATTTATTGTAAGAAACTGATTATCACAGGGCGCATTTGTTTTCCACTTCCTTTTCCCTGTAGGAAGGCTTAATAGATACCCACATGAAGAGCAAAAGCATTTCTTCCTCTCCTGGGCCCCTAGACTATTATGAATGTGTTCTCTAGAGTGCGACCATGTCCCAGAGCTCAGCTAAGACTCATCACACGCAGGGGGCGGGGTCCTGCAGAGAGCCACCTGCTACTGCTCGCTGCATTGCTGCCACTTGGCAAGTACTGGCAGCATCAACTTTATTTCTCACGCACCACCGGTACCCACCCCCCTCCCCAGCTCGGTGCCATAGCGCTCGGCACAATTTATATTTTCCGAAATAAGTGAATTTTGAAAACAAGCACGACTCTTAAGGCAAAAATAAAATCAGAGTCATAGCACACAATAGTCCAGCGGGAAGGAATCAGTAAAAAAGAAAATTTAAAAAGTCAAGTTTTCAGAGGCCACTGATAGAAAGTGAGCACGTGAAATTTCAATATACTGATGACGTGAATGAGTATTTTAACTGGCGGTGATTCAAGCACAAGTCAGATTTCGAGCCATCCGATATTCAGATTTAATCCATTTGATGTATGTTCCCTGAAACCTTATGACGCTGTTGCTATAAAACGAAATTTTTGTGTCACAAGAAGCCACGTGGACTGAAGAAGTCACAGAAGTGGCTCCTTATAATGGCATCTATGATCGGGCATTAAGAACAGGACTCCTTGGAATGATATTTACAAAGCCCTTCTGGGGGCATGACCTTGATGAAATGTTTTTAATTTTATAATTTTTATAAATCATGCAAAGAAACAATTAGTGTTTTCTCCTGAGAACTGCCCACATCGCTAGTTAGACTGAGAAAGCTGCATGATTTTAACGCAGCACACTAACTGTAGTGTCAAGTCACTAAAATGCCAAGTCATTTTCCAGCTTGTGGCATCTCAATGGATTTCCCATTTCCACCTAATGTTGGGAAACCCGTCCTAATGCCACCAGCAGGATTCTGACAGAGGGTGTCTTTGAGACAAGGTTAGACGTTCGGAGCCACAGTGATCCAGATGCGGTCAGAGGCCCCAGGCTCACGCACGCACACATGGCATGCTCACAGATGTTAGTTTTTTCTTCCGGGCCTCAGCTCTGAATTCTGCCCTCCAGCTACAGCTACACAAGTTGGCCCCTTACCCCATCCCCACCCAGCCCAGGACAGACGAGCCCGCGAACACAGAAGAGCTCCAGGGCTGCAGACGACTTGCGGCCCCTCCTCAGCGGGGCGCACTCACCCTCCTGGCGGGAGGACATGTTTTGGATAAACACAACGGCATCACATTGAGTGAATACTCTTGCATACCTTCAATTAGGGTTTCTTGAATTAAATACCTGATTAAGTATCTGATGGATGAGAATAGATTAACTGAGGGGAAAAAAATGCATTAACTTCATTCTGAGACTCATCCCACCAAATCATTGTATTTTCCCCAAGAAGAAAACAAAAATCTATTTTTAAAGAGCAGTTAAATGTGTCAATGACATAAATTTAGGATTATTAAATATAAAGTACCTTCTGACAGGCTTAGTTTGGGCAACTTGGAGCAGAAAATCCACTTTCTCTTCACACTTATGTAACCCCATTATCTAAATAATTTCAGGCACAAGGAGAAGTTGAAGGGAATCGAGGGAAACACTACATTCTGTGCTTGGGATTACCTGAGCAAGGGTGTGTACTGCGGGGAAAAGTGATGGGTTTTCACCAGTCAGCACTAACATGTCACTGATACACATTTTAAAGGACTTTTTAACAAGTCTCATTTCTCCTGATATGAAGCAAATTTTCTTTGAATGTGAAAGTTTTAATTTTAAAAGGTGAGTAATTCCAGAAGGCACATTCTTAACAAGCGTTCCTTCCTTCTGTGCTACCCCCACGGGGACCTGGGCCTTCTATGACCCTGGCAAACTAAACTACCTCCTCATCACAGCGCCTGCGAGTTTTCTGTGCAAGTTGGTTCATCAGTTAAAGCCAGGTCTGCACCTATGTGCAGCTTGAAGAGACTGCCAACAGCGCATCACTAATTAGTGGGACAGACATCTGTATTGCCAGGTTCACAAACAGGATAGCAATTCTCGAAGCCTATTAGTTCTAAAAAGAGCAATTGCTGATTTTGTTCTACCAATTGCTACCCTCGAGTATGATGACCCTTACCCATCTTTGGTTAATAAGTCAAAGGCAACACTTCCAGGAACAACAAATGCTGTGGGCGCAGTGATCCCAATAAATCGCCCGGAGCCTCTCGTTATGAAGGCCAGTCTGGTCCCAGCTCAGAATCAAAGCTACTGCTCCAGACAGCCCACTGTGGATCTGGAAGCTTCCTTAGCAAATGAGGGGCCTCAGATACCCTCGTAAGAGCTCTAGAATTGGAGTTTTCTGCAACTACTTCTTAATTATACACACACACACACACACACACAACTATATATATATGTATATATTCAACTCTAAAGCAATTGAAGGGAGGGAGGCCCTCAGGAAATTTCCTGAAGGAGGCAGAACAGCCCCCAAGCATGGCCTGTCTTCAGCACCGTGCCACTAACCCCGAGAATTCAATTCATGTGGGAGTCACTCAAAGTCTGCCTTAGACCAAATCCCCAAAAGCTGATGGAAACAGATGAGAAAAATTCCACAGAACTACCTGTGCCTTGTACCTTTCTCTGAAAAGACAATCTATGAATAGCAAAACCAATCTGGAAAAAAAGTGTAGATGCTACTCAAATTTCAGAGCCATTATCAGTGTAAGCAAAGTACTAACTAAAGTAGATAGCATGTTTCTTTTATTGCATTACAAAGTAAGTCCCTATTCAGTAATTTTGATTATTAACTAATTTGGATTAGTTCTGATTTAACAGAGAACATGAATCAAACTGTTCAAACCTTAATAATGTCATAATATTTATTAATATAGTAAATCCTGAATATAGAAGATCTATGACTTCTCTAATACTTCTACTTTAGGAACAGGATTTTTCAAAAATCAAAGAAATGTTCTTTTGAAGAACAAAGTTTTAGGGCAATGAGCAAAGACAAAGTAATCATTACAAATTCATTACGAATCCATCAAAGATTTTTTTAAATCCATTTAAATCCAAGTATAGAAGGTCTGACTCCGATCCTACATTATTTCTATATTTTTAGAACTCTTCACTCAAATTCAAGGTTACAACGGCCTTAAAAATATCCACAGGAGAAGAATGACATGAAAGACAATATGATGAATAGTTGTTGTATCAGAGTGGTTAATTTTTTCTCTATTTTTAAAATTTCTTATTGCATGTTACATAATTTGTCATAAAAATTGTAAATTAAGAAAGAATTTAAGGTTATAAAGCAGTTGACTTTATAAATTAATTCTTCAAACAAATGTACACTAAGGACACATTCAACCAAGGTAAAGAAGAGGCTTGGGGGAAAGGTTTACAGGGTTCTGGGAGGAGCTCTAATGAGTCCCATCGCAGGTGCTCCAGCGTTGCTGGCCCTGGAGGCAGGAAGAAGTGGGAGCCCCCTTTCCCGTGGCACACAGATTCTTACCCAGGGACGTATGACAAACGCTGGGCTTCTACACGTTTATTTGCCTTTTGTGCCTGGGGAACCTCAGAGCACGTTTAGAATTGGTACTGGATTTGGCTTGACCGTGAGGAAAGTGAAGTTCACACATGAGTACCCCAGTGACCGTCCACGGTCGCGGCGCTGGCAGAAGCAGCTGCGTAGGCACCACACCACCTCCCCAGCGTCCTGTAACCCAGGGGCCTGGGGACGACTTTCAAGTTATACTGCATTTGCTCAACTACATTCACTTAAAAACCCAGCAACTATATGCTTGAAACTTGTAAACAGATCTCCTTCACACTGACAGCCCACAGGGGGCGCTCTGTCCCCTTGTGGGAGGCTTTTTCGGGCAAGAAAATCAAAATCTGTATTTAAAATATGTGAGCATCTTGTAAAATAAACTTTTAAAACTCATTTTTTAAACAGCCTAGTGGCCATTGCAAATGAATAACTTTACCCAAGGAAAGAGAGAATGTAAGTGCATACTATATCGGCATATAAAAATAGAAAACTCTCAATAAGGATTTCAGAGTCCGATCCTCGAGAAACCACACGACGTGTGCCCAAAGGCTGAGCGTACACTGACGCAACGCCCTTCCTTGACCTCTAAATGCGTCCCCCGCGCTGGAAGTGTCTGGAGGCTGGCATTTGCCTACTCCCGCGGGTCCTTTGGCAGGTGTCACAGCTGCTGGTTGGTGAAGAAGGATTTAGTCTCCCTGCAGACAGGGTTTACGCAGAGCGGACAGCTCAGAGTCAACTGCTTGGAGCACAGCTCGTTGGACTGGATGTGTGAGAGCACCAAATCCGCCAGGGCCTGGAAGGCGGGCGACAAGAAGCAAGGATTCGATCAGAACAAAAAGTCTGCCCTTCTCCCCCGCGGCAACGCACTTCCTCCTCCCATCTGTCCTGATAATCACTATGGCTTGGGGTGTCTTTCCATCTCAATTATGAATCCTTTGAACCAAATTCTGTAATATCTTTCTTCTCCAAGAATCCTCAGCTTGGAGAAAACTTAAAATATAGACTTTAGAGAATGAAATCCTCTGATCCCAGCTGCCAAACCTCATTCTTCTCTGATGGACGGATTTAAAATCAGACATAGAGATAGGTGGGTAGAAATCAGAAAATTGGGGTTATCTCAAGTAGAAAAAGAGTGAGAGTATAAGGAATTCGATTTTATTTTTGTAATTAATTGGAACTCAAAATGTTCTAATATGTGAGAAAACCAATATTCTGTAAGAGTTTCTCAGAGGATTACTCTCCGATATGTTCTACTAAAGTGGTTGTAACGCTACAGATACCTTAGAGAACAATGGATTTCCATTAAGAGACTCTGCTCTTCTGATGTTTTCAACTCCACACTGAATCGAACGAGAAAAAGGAGGAAAAACACAGACACATTTTATTTTCCTTTTGTTTTTTAAAGAAACTGACTGCTACAGAACACACACACACACACACACACACACACTCTCTCTCTCTCTCTCTCTCTCTCTCTCCCTCTCTCTTTCTTTAAGAGGACCCAGACTGCTCAGAAATGAAAAATATTCCCAAGACCAAGCCACACGCTGATGTTCATGACATCATGTTATCAAGACATTGCCCTTCAATTCCTATTCCTCCCCAACCCCATCACCTTCCCACAGGTACTTTGTTTCAAAACCATTTTTGAGGTTATGCTGGACAGAATTCCCAAGTAATTGACATCTGCTTATCATTCTTTTTTTTATAGTATCTTTCTAATGCACATCTTTATAGACTCTACCTGAGCGGAATGTTGCTTTAAGTACATTTTCAAACCTGTTTTGATTCCAAATATCAAAAGTAAATTAATTGAATGTATTTTGAACCTATGTTGGATCCAATTCAGAGTTGGGATTTTAAATTGACTCTCATGTTAAAAAATCTAAAATAAAAATTTGAGAATTGTTTCACTACCACTCCTGCTCTCCTTTCTAAAAATATCCAGTTAATTATACTCCCAATAAGTGAGAAATATCTAATTATTATTTACACAAGTAGTTAGGATGTTCTCTTTAGCTTTCCAAAATGCCAACGGCTTTTTAGGTGTTTTATCTTTTAAGTTAGCATTAACAGCGTGGGCTCTCCCGCAAGCAGCGCGCGAGAGGCCACAGATACTTTTCTGCAGGGCGATCTAGTGGAATATGTCAACATTAAATTCCACTTGTAGGAATTCATCCTCAGAAAATAATGGGAAAAATAAAAAAGGAAATGAGATTTATTGCAGAGCAGTTTATGACCATAAAAAATTAGAAACATCTTTAATGGATGCTAATTAAGGATTTGTTAAAATAATTACATAAATCTAATTACATTTATTGATTTGAGTCCATACTACATTTTTAAGGGAAAAATAGGTTACAAAATAGTATGAATAACATACCATTTTTGTAAAACATGTAGGAGAATACCATTTTAATTAAAATACAAACACATATTTAAAGAGGAAAAGGGTCTTGTATTAATCAAAGTATCAACATATGTGTGAGGGGTAAGATGCTAAGTGAGTTCTACTCTGTCTGTTTCCTTCTCTCAACTATCTAAGCTCTGTATAATTTTTATTATCAAAAAGCAGTAAAGCTATTTCTATTTGAGGAAAACATTCAAACTACTTTTTAAAGAAAGTTAGCTGTTTTAAACACAATATACTTTCCCATCAAAATAATGAAACAAATTTTAGCTAGATGACTTTATTCTCTATATGGACTAGTTTATTAGTCGCTAATAAGCTATGGATTACTAAGGAATGACCTCAGTTTAGTAATATGAATGAATGTGAATAATCACTCGATACAAACAAAAACTTCTCTTCCAAACACACTGCAGGACCTGGATTTGCATGTAAGTCTTTTTAGCAAGCTCACAGTTAGCCTAAGTCACGGAGGGGTACAGAAGGTATCATTAAATGAAATCCACAGACAACTCTGCAACCTTATTTTGGCCAATTACAACTTTCCCATAAATTCTCTATCAGAACTACCGACAAGTCATTTAGGCAGCCTCTACCTTCATCAGCGCTTGATTGGTGACCAGCACGTTTATGAAAACTTGTGGGGTTGGGTGTGGGCTCAAACTCTCCTTCCAGCCCACTCTCCGCCCTGGCCTGCACCTGCCCCCGGTCCCAGGGAGGGCGACGAGTCCTTCGAGGCCAGGCCTCCATCAGTCACACGTGGAGGACCGGGGACAGGAGTTCTGGCAGAGGATGAGGGGGCAGGGCTTCCCGGGTCCCCGCGCTTCCACAGTCCCCACGGAAACAATGCTATAAATTGGACTCAGGTTTAGGGCTGACCCTCAGAAGCCATAAGATGGGCGAACCATGGCTCTTCTCCACTCTGAGTGACAGTTCACATCCATCTTACATAACAAGACACTAAGGACAGTATTTGTCACTTCACCTTTCTGCCCCTCCTACCCAGCTGAATGAATGTGACTTCTTTAATTCCTTGGTTGTCAGATTTCCACACAGCTCGATTTTCTGACAATTCTGGATGATAGTTGTTGTGTAATTTAGTTGTAATTTTTGCTGTGGTTGTGCAAGGAGGTGAGTCGTGTTTACCTATGCCTCCATCTTAGTATTGTGAAGTCATTATTTGTTATTTCAATAATCAGACTGATAATATCACAGGAGCAAACAGCTAATTAACCCATATTTTGCTGTCCGTAATGTGTATTTTTTTTGCCCAGATTTTTGAGGGAAAAGTAAGGATGCGCATTAGCACTACCTATACATAGGTAGTGCTAATTCTGTATCTATCCAAACGTTTTTAATTCTTTTATTTAAGCTTAGGCATTTAAAGTGTAACTCTAGAAAGCAGTAACAATATCTGTATGCAAAATAATACCCTGGAATACAATAACCAGTTTTGTTTCTAAATATAAATAAATAAATAAATAATTGAATCTAAAAATTTAAAGGAAAGATTTTTTTCCCCTGAAAGTTTGGACCAAAAATGCGGGTGCACATCACACACAGCAAAATACAGTAAGTGCACAAAAAACATGGTCGAAATAATTTTGACAGACACGGCTTCGGTGGTGATTCCATGCTCTTAACCAAATGACAATGACTCCCATGTGCCTTAAAAACCCAAAGGACACTATTAAGTGAGGAAAAGAAATTATAGAACAATCAAGCTTTTTTCCTCCAGATCAGTGAGTACAATTATTTTTTCTTAAGGAAGTGTAGATTTTATTACTTTCAGGTAGTACAATGCTCAAACTAAATAAACCGACGTGGCCACAGTGGCCCACATGAGCTCAGAAAGGCACCAAAGGACTTCCCCAGCGCCGGCAGGGCTCTGACTCGATGTGCTCAGATTTATTTCTCAGACTAAGCATTACTCAGATCAAGGCGGACACAGGATGTGCACACATGCATACCAAACAGTGTTTTTGAATGCTACCGTGAGATCACGGCCGAGAAAGCTTCCCTTTAAAACAAGTCGCGGTGGGGTTAAGAAGACGACAGCATTTACCTCGTCGGCTAGAACCTGGGAGTACTCGATGTCCAGTTCATACAGGGTCTCGATGTGATCGCTGGTGAATGCTATCGGGACCAAGAGGATGTTCTTCCGCCCCCTCTCGCAAAGCCCTTTGATGGTCTCGTCCGTCTGAGGGCCCAGCCAGGGCATGGGGCCGACCTAGGAGAAAGGAGGACGCGTGCCCACGGGCCCCCCGCCCCCCCGCTGGGCCCGGCACGCGCTTCCCTGAGGGCGAGGGCCACGCCGCACACCTGCTTTCAGGGGTTTTTCTGCACGGAAGCTTGAATCCTCCTAAAAGCTGGCAGACTATAAGTAGCAATTACTGTCGTTACGACTACAAATAACATTTTAAGTCAATGGAACTCAGCTAGACACTTGATTTCCCTTCTGTCTTACTTGCTTGCAGAGTCCTTTCTGCCCATGGCCAGCAATCGGGTTACATAACAGTCTGTCTATACGAAGAAGCCAAATCCCATCCTTTTTATAATTAAGTACGAAAATAGACGTCCTCAAAAGAGCGGATGGCCTGCTAACACGTGGCAGCCACCTACCTTGGACTGCCACACCAGTCGGTAGGGGTTGGAGTAAGCCAGCTTCTCCATGACTCTGTGGACGGTGGCACCCACCTCCTGAGGATAGGGGTCCCCTCTGTTGACCACCTGCAGCGGAGACACACAGGTTTCCTGTTTTTATGTGCCAGGAGAGGAAGCACTGGGCTTTAAAAATGTTACCTTATGAGACACACACATACTTTAAATACATATTTTGGTTTTCTTGCCCAAAAGACCTCTGCGAGGGGATGGGGAGCCCCCTGTGGGGTGTCAGTGTGAAGGAGGCCTGTTTACATGTCTCATGCATATAGTTGTTGGGTTTCTAAGTGAACATCGTTGAGTACATGCAATTACCTAACCTTTCCCAGGCCCGTGGGTTACAAGACGCTGGGGAGGTGGCGTGGCGCCTCCCGTGGCTGCTTCTGCCAGCACCGCGACCGTGGACGGTCACCGTCGTACTCGCCGTGTGAACCTCACTTTCCTCACAGTCAAACCAAATCAAGTACAGATTCCAAATGTGCTCTGAGGCTCCCGCCCCCTCCCTCTCCTCCTGGCTTCATAGCATTCCTCAGTCCCACACCGAACCCCGGGGCAGCAAAAACCTGGAAGCAGCATGCTCAGACCCAGAGGGAGGCAAGGCGAGCGAGGCCGAGGGTGAGCGGAGAGGAGGCAGCACCTGGAAACATTCATGTGGAAAAATGTGTTTCCTCCTTTCCCAGTTCAAGAGCTTCCCTTCTGGCACTTCAGACACGGCCTCATCACACGCAGGACAGTTATAAATAGGATGAGGGTGGAGAAGGAAGATGGACATGTGAAGAGGATTTGCATAATGCCAGAAAGAGAGAATAGGAGCCTGTTCAAATGAAACAGGCAGGCTTCCAGCAGAGAAAATTTATCTCCAGGGCCGCGTACTGCTGAAACGGCGATCGCTGAGTGGCGACGTGTGAGTGGAAGAGCTGCAAAGGGCTCGACCCCGGCGGCCACCAGGTGGCAGTCGAGACCAACTGGAAGCGTGGCCCAGACTCGCCCATTAACTCCATTAACCCTGGCGTTAAAACCTTAATAGCACCCGAGAAAGTGAAATTCTCCACCTCCCCAGCACTGAAAGCCACGTCTGTAGAACACGATGCCAGGCCCGGGCCGATGCAAGTGGCTGCTCACTGCAGGCGCTTCGATGTATCGCACAGCGCACTTGCTGGACCGCTCTGGTTCCTGTGCGCTCTGTATCCGCTTGACGCGCTCTGGGCCCAGTCTTAACAAGCTAAAACCCTAATCGCTTCCTGGAACTCAGACAGTCCCTATCGTGTCCTGAGGACAAAAGAATGAGATTGGGAGCGTCCAGTTTGGAGGGCTTGCGATTCAACCTGCTGAAACATCAGGCAGGTAAGAGCGGTCTCCCTTTCACTGTTCCGCTTATTAAAAATCCTTAAGTGCGATTGTATCCTCAAGGTATTATGACTTTTGTACAGGGTGGGCCAAAATTTGATTTCTAGCTGTGAGTTTATTCTTGTATTATTTATTATTATATATCAATATAATTATATGTAATATTATATATATTTTATATGTATAGTATTTTCCATTTGAACTGTAAACCTAATTTCCCCCCACCCTGTATTATGAATTATAAATATTATCATTTGAATGAGCTATTCTTCAGTTTCAAGAAGTGAGTTGAGTTAAAAATGAGTACCACGTTAAGTCTGAGATTCTAGACTTCAGGGTGTTGTGGAAGCTGGGTACATGTCACACATTTAGAAATCCTTTCGCATGAGGTCACCCCACAAAATGGTCTTACTTACAGACATTGGCAGTGAGTGAGCAGAAAAAAGAATGACCACTTCGCTCCTCTTCTCCGGTGGGAAATGGTCCAGCTCTTTCTGAATGTGGTCGGCAAAGCACTGCAGAGACACCAAACAGGGAGGACCAGGAGCAAGTGGGAAGAGAGACGTGGAAGGAAAAGACAAAATTTAAAAAATGAGAGCCATGCCAAAGATGTCAGAGCAACCCTCAAAACTCAGAACTCTCTTTTAAAAAAATTGCCCACAGTATAGCCTCTCGTTTTGGTTCGTCATCAAAATGGCTCCTAACGGTTTCAGGGGCCTGGGGAATTTGATGGGAAACTTCTGAAGCTCGCTAATGGCTCACGGAGAACGCAGGCTCTGGATCGGCTGCCCCTCGGGAGGAACAGGGCACACTTCCAGATGGGAAGGAAACACAGATGGGAAGGAGAAGTTGTTTTAAGACCTCTCATTTGCTCGGTTAGCAGAAAAACAGCTTACGGGGTCTTTCTAAATCTCCCTGGTTTGGCTTTCAGGCATATTGCATTAAAATACATTAGACAGAAATAGTAAAGGAACAAGAAAATATTATCTATTTTTATGACCTTTTCCTTCTGAGCCCAGTATCCTCACTGAGTCAATCTTCCTAACAACCTTCATAACAACAGATGAGAGGTTGTAAAACTCCCATTAAATTCACGGAGGGGGAAGATGCGCCGACCTGGGGCCCACTCAGTCACATCTGCGGGACGGGGCTGCAGCGCAGGCCCCGCCTCCTCCCCCAAACCTCTGTCGACCAGACCAGACCAGTTAATTCCCTTCGTCTAGTTGGCACTTTCCGATTCACATCAATAGGTGCTGAAATACCAGCTCTGAAGAGGCTTTCTTTCATCTTACACTTTAATCATTCTTTGTCATTTCACTTATAAAGCAAATGCTACAAAGAACATTAAGGGATCAATTGACAAAATTCTAATATAAACATAGATTAGACAAAGTAATCAATGTTAAATTTACTGAAGCTGAATATTATATTATGGTTATGGAAGAAAATATCCCTGCTATTTAGGTGTAAAGAGGGTTTTTTTTAATACATGTGTATGTATATTTAAAACTTACTCTCAAAAGGTTCAGGAAAAAAAATTATGTGTACATATATAGACACATACATATACACAGACATAAATGTTATTAATAATATGTGAATCTAGGTAAAGAGTAAATGAAAGTTCCTTATACTATTCTTAGTCTTGTAACTTTTCTGCATGTTTGAAATTATTTCCAGATAAAAAGGTTTTTAAAACATTATAAAGAAAAAAAGATCAGTATAAAGGACAATTTCCCAGAACCATGAAAATTTATACTTGTCAGTATTTGGATTTATACCGATTTAGGATGAGCAAATTATTCCCCAATAAATATTGAGATACTATTAATCTTCCCAGAACCCTCAAAATTTAGGAAATGCCCTAAGACACAAAATGGTACCTAGAGAATTAGTTCCCTTTTCAAAATTTGTAATTTACTAATAGGATGTAGTAGGGTTACATACCAACAAAAACAGTATTTTCTGATAAGCCTTTGCAGTGTTTGGAAACTAAGGATGCTCAGAAAGGATTATTTTTGGACAGAAGCCCAGATAAGGAGGTGTACTGCAAAGTTTACACAGGAGCCTGGAACATCCTTAAACTCCAATTATTGCCAACAGCTAGGTAACAGCAGTAACTGACTATTTTAAGTAATTACTACCTGTAATAAGTTGGAATGTTGATTTAAAATATTTATAGTTTTAGCCCTGGCTGGACAGTTCAGTTGGTTAGAGTGTCGTCCCAATACACCAAGGTTGTGGTTTTGATCCCTGGTCAGGGCACATACGAGAATCAACCAATGAACGCATAAATAAGTGGAACGACAAATCAATGTCTTGTTCTCTCTAAAATCACAGTTGTAGTTTTTAACTATATTTTTAGTGTTAGTTCAGTCTAGGGTTTAGGTTTGTTTTGTTTTTTTCTATTTCTGCTAGATATCAAATCCCCTTCTCATGTAATCTATATAATATTAAGAACAAAATCTATGTATCAATTTCTGTTTCCAAAAAACTTTGTATTTTTCCTTTTCTCATCTTGCAAACCTGCATGTACAAACACAATGTGCTATGGCTTACAACAGACCCTCAGCCACGTCAAAACTGAGGAGCCGCGGGCAAGTCCAAGTGCTACTTAAATCATCCAAAACCCATCTGCGGTATTTTCTAGGCTCAATCCCTCAGCAGAATGAAAGAGGCCGGCAGCTCTCAGAGCCTTCAATCACACCATCTAGGAGGGCAGATAAACGCCTCTAAAATTCCCTTTCATTTTATGAACGGAGACTTCCTCAGTTAAGAGACCTTTCCATCTTTCTGCTTCCCCCCTTTTCAAATGGCTGAATTTTAATGCAAATCTAATTACTCACTGGATCAGGGCAGGCAGATGCTGCGCAGACCCCGCAGTTCTCGCTACCACATGTCAGGGCTGACCTGAAACACCCCTCGCTTCCAGTCCAAGCAAGGAGCAAGAGAGTCTGGCAGCCGGGGCTTCAGGCCATGCTGACTGGACCCCAGTCACAGAACAAATGCGTGAGGGGACACCCAGACCCAAACCACACCCATCCCTAAGGGAAGGCACCTACTTTTCACTCCTTGCTTAAAACTGGATTTCAGCTAACCCTTGACACCAACGGCATGCCCAAGAACGCTGACTGCTCGGGGAGGGCTGGCTGCTTTTAACGATGTCTAGCACCATCTAGTGGTTACAGATTTTAGGTGACTCCAGGCTCCTAAAAAGTGTTAAGCTGGTATTTCGGCAGCCAGACAGAGGTTGTCGAAGGAATGAAATGTAAACTGGATGAAATTTGAAGCATCTACTATATCTCCTATCTCAACTTAAGGTAGAAACTTCCACCAACAGAACAAAACTACACTTGTCTGATTTAGGGCAATTACCAATAGCATTCTTATTCAGAGGGAAATAAAGGTTAGAATAAATGCTAATTAAAGCTATCTTAGAATTTGTGACGGCGTGGATGAACCTAGAGGGTATTATCCTAAGCAAACTAGGTCAGGCAGAGAAAGACAAATACCTTATGATTTCACTTATATGTGGAATCTAAAGAACAAAATAAACAAACAAACAAAAACAGAAATAGACCCACAGACACAGAAGAACAGACTGATGGTTGCCAGCGGGGAGGATTGTGGGTCTGGCTGAAAAAGGGGAAGGGGTTAAAAATACAGATTGGTAGTCACAAGACAGCCCCAGGGATGTAAAGCACAGCATAGGGAATATAGTCAATAACGCTATAATAACCATCTATGGTGGCAGCAGATACTTGAAATACTGGGGAGACCACTTTGTAAAGCAGATGAGTGTCTAACCACGATTCTGTATTCCTGAAACTAATACAAAATAATATTGAATGTAAACTATAATTGAAAAATAAAATTAAAAACAAAAACGAAGCCATTGGTGCCCTGACCTGTGTGGCCCAGTTTTGGTTGAGCACCGTACCGCAAAGCCAAAGGTTGCCAGTTTGATTCCCGGTCAGGACACATGCCTGGGTTGAGGGCCTGGTCCCCAGTTGGGGCATGTGCCAGAGGCAACTAATCAATGTTTCTCTCTCACATCAATGTTTCTCCCCCTCCATTTCTCCCTCCCTTCCCCTCTCTCTAAAGATAAATAAAATCTTAAAAGAAAACAAAAAAACAAAACAAAAGTCATGGCTTTAGAATTGTAGTTTTTACCGATTCTCCTAATATCAAGTGTCTATTAATATAAATATTATAAATATAATCGTGAGAAGAATTTTGAAATTTCTTCTAATATATGAAACTTCTGAGTTGAAATGTTAAATTTATTTTCATGCCTCAGAACATGTAGATATAATTACATCTAAGTTTTAAAAACGTTTAACATTTTAGAGGATGTAGAAGATAGAGGATTTATTCATCGTCATTCACTCTATCAGTGCACATTAGCAGAAACACCCTGCATAATCTTTAATGTTCTTCTGGTTATCGGGAAACATCAAACTCAAAGTGTAATTCTGCTGTGGTTTGTGACTAACAGTATTAACCTCAAGAAAAAAAAAGGGTCTAACCTTTGATCTTTAAATTTACTTTCTCTTGTCATAATAAATCAAGACTCTAACCCCCTCTTTTTTTAATCCCCAGCCTACGATTTAAGCAAGAGAAGGGCGAGGCTCAGAGGCCGGGGTAAGAACCTGACCCGCACCAGAGGCTGGGCAGCGTGCAGCGGGGTGGGGCCGCAGGTGGGGGCGGGCTGACCTGAATGAGGAGCGGGTGCGTGGGCCACCTGTCGATTGTGCTCCACTTCATCCTCGGCTTCTTTCCCACTTCACTGTAGTATCTGTAAATGGCATTTAAGCTGCTACCTGAAATATACAGGGGGCCACTTAGTAGGTGCATATTGACTACAGTGAAAATATAAAACAAGACTAGTAAAGGCAGTGCAAAGTAGGCAACTGCTTCTAAACTGAATCAGTCTCATTACAATCATTTCAATACCCTAAAATGCATACAGATTTAACCACCCCCCAAATGAAGATCACTAAAAAGCAATCAATTTCAACAGCCTTTCAAAGATTATTGAGGTCATTTCTCGTGAGAAACATGATCACAGTGGATTTATGAAATATAAGCGGTTGTTATTTGCAGGGACCAAGCTTTACAATTAAAAGCATGTTGCAATTGTTTTCCCCACTGTGAAGGTCACCAGCCCCATTACAGGATGTGCAGGGGTAGGAAACAAGAAACTGGCCATCACCCCAGCTGAGTAATATGGTCATTGTTTTATTCCAGCATCATTATTTCCAATTATCTTTATTTTTAGCTGTCTTGTTTCACAAACTTGTAATTTTAGTATATATGCAATTTTGCATCCTGAGTCCTTTGGGCATTTTTAGCTGGTATTATGAGATGAATTATTTCCCACATTAAAATAAAAGCTTTGTAGCCATCCTTTTTAGTGGCTTGTTCATAAAAACAGTAGCTTATTGAGGTTTCTATGGGCATTCTCTATTTTTACCTGCTTCTACAAAATTGTCATTTCCTAGAATAAGTTAAATGGCTATCAAAACCTTACAGGTAATCTAACAAAACTTGTTATTTCTATGCAAGGGATAGAAACCATGAAATGCTAAATGCCAACCCAGTGCGACTTAATCCTGGCCTAGGGGAGCTGGGAGTGGGGCCAGGCCTTGGTCCTGTGAGGCATATCCCAACACAGGGCCGCCTCTTGCGTCTCTTTGCACAGCAGACGCTCCCAGATGCCACAGGCTTCCCAACGCCAACCCGCTGGCTTCTCTGACTATGAGCTCTATTAGTCAGTCAGGTTTCCAACTTAAAGTGCTAGTCAGGACAGAGCCATGTGTAAATCAAAAGTGTGCTCTGAGGCTAACACGCAACTTTCAGAAAATAAATGCACTTTGGTGAGTAGAACACAATGAGTGAGAGGACTCCAAATGGAGTCCATTCCAGGTTCGCGAATATTCTCTCCAGAAATTACGAAGTAGTCACCACCATATTCATGTTGCAAACCACATTTTACCGGTGAGTGTCACTTTCAGATGTGCAAAAGGACGTCCAGAAGCCACGTTAGCTGGTCTGGGTCACTCAGAAACATTCCATGAACTACCAGAAGTATTTAAGAGGAAAAGAAAACTGAAAAAGTCACTGGTGACTGATCCACACAAAACATGGGCTCTGTCACAACGTGTGTCTAAAACACGCAGTAGATAAACAGCACTCCAGCGGGCTCGGGGCGCGACTGTGCTTCCCGAAGGCTTCCCACCTCGGAGGGAACAGGCACCGTCCTTGCACGTGACGGCTGCTGCAGGACAGCTGCACAGCCGCTGCTGCGTCAGACACGCGCTGACAGAGCGGCTGAGAAGTGAGACCCCCGGTCCATCCTCTGTCAGGTAAGTGACAATCTGCTTAAGGTGTCTAATTGTGAGAGCAGACAGTCACACAGGGAGGTACGTTTTTTAAAGCAAGGCAAAAGTGCACCATATTTTGCCACGTATAATGCACACCTGCGCTTATGTGCGCATTATACATGGGATTATCATACCCATGCATAATGTGCATCCTTACTTTTCCCTCAAAAACTTGGGAAAAACAGAGTGCCTTATACACAGAAAAATACAGTAGCTTAGAAGTTTAAAAATCTGATTTATTGTCCAATAACATATTACCAGACATTTTGATCTTTTCGAGGTTCATTTTCAAAAGAAATCACAATTCAGACTCTTGCAGGTGTTGGAGGACTCAGGCATTTTCCCAGGTGCCCTGAAACAGTAGGCTTTGCATACGTCTTCCGGCAACCTTTTGCTGCTCCTTATAGTTACAGAAAGAATATACACTAATATCCAAAAGCAATTTGGGAGCAAAAATGTGCTGACCCCCAACCCCTGAAACAGAATACAAACACATATATCTGTGGGTAGCAGTAGAAGCTTCACCTTCAATTGATGAGACAGGGGTGGGAAAACGTAGATTATTCTCCTGCTCCAGTTAAGTATGCAGGAAATAACACACAGTAGTACTTCCCAAAATCTAGTATACCAAGTTTGCAGACAGAACCTCAAACTGGGCTTTGGTTCGACTAGTAACCAACCCATAAATGAAGCATAACAAAAAACATGCCACTATTCCCATGCTATATGGGCACCTCTGCTTTCAAAGTGCAAACAACGATCACCTTTGTTACATTAATAAAAATACTAGGGCCCTGGCTGGTGTGGCTCAGTGGATTGAGCACCAGCCTGCGAATCAAAAGGTTGTTGGTTCGATTTCCAGTCAGGGCACATGCCTGGGTTGCGGGCCAGGTCCCCCGTTGCGGGGGTGTGAGAAGCAACCACATATTGATGTTTCTCTCCCTCTCTCCCTCCCTACCCATCACTCTAAAAAGAAAAAAAAAAGTAGCCATAAAAATAGGTTTATTACACAACCTATTTTTAAAGTTCATTCTTGATCCACTGTACCAGTGGTTTTTAACCTTTTTCCTCTCATGGCACACCTAAACTAATTACTAAAAGTCTGCAACACACTATAATTCTGTAACAAAATATATTACATTTTTTGCTGATCTGCCAAAAAAAAAAAAAAGGTATAATTTTGATGCATTCACACTGGAGGGCTGCTGTTGCATTGGCTGTTGTCATTTTTCTGTTTGACAATCTGAGGGAAAAGAGGTCAGTGCCCCTGACTAAACAGTCAGGGACTGCATGCTTTACAAACCCCGCAGCTCACCAGCTGCAAGCCGCTGCCCCGCACCACTGCACCACAGCACTGAACACTCGCGGCACTGCTGGCCGCCACCACTTGTCGCTCAAAGCACACGGGCGATACTCAAGGGACAGGTGAACCTGGAGATTTCAAATGGACTGACCCGCACTCTCGAGTGCAAAGCAGACAGGCCGGATTGGCCACTCACACCACGGAGGACGTAACTTGTCCTTCGCGCCCGGCTTCCCCAGGTGCTCCTGCCGGGCTTCTCCGCCTCGCTATGGAGACCCCTTACCTGTGGTAGAGCAGCTGTACTGCGGGTACTGCGTGAAAGCAATAGCCCTCTCCAGCCCATCTCTCTCCATCTCTTCGATTGCTTCTTCTGTTAAAGGGTGGACGTACCGGAATCCAATGTAGTATTTGTGAGGGGCTACGGGGAAGCATGTGTGGAAAGGAGAAAGTATTAATCTTCATATTCCTCAGAGTGGCCAAACGTAATGCGATGTCCAGAACAAAGAACAGTTCACCTAATTCCCTACGGTGTGGGCGATGTGAGGAAGTTTAGACTATTCCTTGGATTGTATCTGGTCATCAGCTAGTACATGGACTTTTAATCACTACTGTCTGGGGCCAACCTCGCCTCTCAGGCATACACATCTTTACTCAGCACGCTGGTTTTAAAACTCAAGCTTCTGTGCCTCGCTCTCTGCTCTTGACTGAGATGAGAAGGGAGAAAAGACCTAGGAGCCTCCTCTCCTGTGCCAGACACCGTGGTAGACACTTGGCTTTTTATTCCCTCTTGTTTAAACCCTGCTTTTCAGATAGGGAAACAGAGACTCTCCAAGGTTCATGGGCCTGCCCAAAGCCACACCTAGCAGATGGTGGAGCTGGAATTATAACATGCGGCTCTGCCCATCCCAGAGCCCCCCGCCTTCCTTCCCTGCCCCCACTGCTTCTACCACCCGAGCTCCCCCTCCTGTGCCCTCAGGCCCCAGGGCACCTAGTTCATATAAAAGCTTTGGGATACTCGGTACAAGTTCATTGGTAACAAGTGACTGAAATGATTTTTCTCGTTTAATACATAAAAAACACCCAACAGCAATGCTTTAGTTGGAGGTACTGAGTGGCATTTTTAAATCACTGTTCTTGGCACCTACAGGGCCTGTGTCAGCCGTGTCTCTGTGTTCCCGCCCAAAGGCTTCACCAGTTCCCTCTGTCTGCTCCTTTGTCCTCCTGCATCTTTGTTCCCTGAATTTTATTTTTATTATTCTTAACATGTTTATCTATTTCAGAGAGAAAAGACGGGGGTCGGGAGAAAAAAACATCAGTGTAAAAGAAGAACACCGACTGGTTGCCTCCCACACGCTCCCTGGCCAGGGATCGAACCTGCAACCTTTTGGTGTATAGGACGGTGCTCCGGCCAATGGAGCTGCACTGGCCAGGGCTTTCCCCTGCATTTTAAAAGCATCTGCAACCACATAAGTCGTTGACATTTATAAAATCATGAAACCCAAGTTTCCTAAAGTTTACCCAGCCTGGTTCCCTTGTCTTTTCATAGGATTACATCTAACTTCTACTCAGGGATGATACAAGAATACACTACATAAACATTAAGTAATAGTAAATAAACCTTCCCTGGCTGGTGTGGCTCAGTGGATTGAGCGCCGGACTGTGAACCAAAGGGTTGCTGGTTCAGTTCCCAGTCAGGGCACGTGCCTGGGTTGCGGGCCAGGTCCCTGGTAGAGGGCATGTGATTGGCAACCATACACTGATGTTTCTCTCCCTGTCTTTCTCCCTCCCCTCCCCTCTGTCTAAAACTAAATATTTTTTTAAAAAAGTAAACAAACCCAAGATAATGTCACTATCCAACCATTAGAGGGGGCTGCAACTAAGAATATAACACTAACCTGTCACATAAGAAGCATTTAGGTTAAAGTAAAGAGAAAGATAAACGCATTTATTGTTTATGTATATGGATGGACACACACACACACACACACACACACACACAGAATGTGGCCCAGGAAACCATGAAGCGACAGAGCATGTTACCAACGACAGGAGCAGCACACTGAAAGAAGGCAGAAGCATATCTGCATGTGGGAAGGACAGTCTAATTCAGCAACCTCTGGTTGGGGACCACAAGTAGATGAAGGAAAGGGTATAAATGAAATCATTTTCAGCTGTCTGTTCCTTCTCAGCCACCAACCTCATATCCTCTTGCATAAAGTATGGTGAACTGCAGTTAAAACACACCAGAGAAAAGGACCCTGTGAGCAAACTCCAAATGACTGATTGTTCCAAGATTACGTGGCTTGTCCTGAAACTGCCAACTACCACAATATCATCAAGTCCATGTTTGAGGAGCACTTGGCCAGCCGAGGTGTAGTTGCAGCGGCACTGGCTTTCTGATCTATTTTGAGACACTGTTATCAGATTGACGTAGTAGGACCCCCGACGCTGCAGGCCCACCAGCTTCTCACGTGTTCCCTCCACCTTTGAAAGTTGCAGACCCAACGCCTGGCGTTTGGGAGTTCCTCAATACTGCAGACTAAGGAGGCGGGGAGGCTGCCCTCGCAGATAAAGGCAGGGTGGTGACCACATTTTGAAGGGGGAGAGTAACGCACTCTGGAAAGAGCAGATAAGGCTTGCTAAACTGCTCAGTTGGAGACAGCCTGCAGAAACTTATCCTGAGCAAGTAACAAGGGCTGCTTCGCGAAGGTTCCCTGCTGGGATGGGCTTCACCCTGCAGCTGGCTGCCCAGGAGCGCAGGGCAGGGAGGCGCCGCCTGGACGCCGACAGCTCCACAGCTGGCAGCACATCTGAGCCCACAGTGAGCCCCCAATACTTGCCTCGCTGGCCTAGCCTAGTCCACCCTCACAGCGCCTGCCCGGTGAACACGCTGTGGTGAGAACTAGGAAAACGGGGAAAAGGAGCGGAGAAATTGGATTTTTAAACAGGAAACCTTCATTAATTTCCAGCCCATTAATTCAGCATGCACCATAGTTCAGATGTCTGGTTTGTACATGACTCTTTGAGAAAAAGCTGTGAGATAGAGTGCGTGACTCTTCTTAATGTGTATCAGACCATGAACCCTATGCCCAAGACAAATAATAATCAAAGCTCCCACTCGCTGATTTTTCGTTATGCACCACACACCATGCCAATGCCTTTCGGGACTCGCTTATTCGATATTCACCATGATCCTGTGGTTGGGGTCTGTTATCGTCCCCATCTTCCAGATGAGGCTCCATGGGGCACGCAATCCGCCTGCAGCCGTGCAGGCCGGAGAGGGGCGGCCGGCCGGTCTGCGAGAACCCGCGCCCCGCCCCCTGTGCACCCCACGAACAACAGTGGAATTCTTTTACTGAGGAGCACTTACAGTGTCATTAAAAGCAGGTGCAGCCTCTGTAACTACACTATAATTTGTAAAACATACTTCAGATTTAGAATTTTCATGACATGATTGCACTTCTCAGCTATTGCCTTCTGTCCCCTGAACTACTGCAGTGTGGTCCCGGTGACCAATTCCCAGCTATGTTCCCTCCTGTAACTCACCGTGTTAGGTGATAGTCAATTCTAGGCAAAGACAGTGCAAGTTTCGAAGTTTTTATGCTGGCTAACAAGCAACAAAAACTTCTCTAAGAAAAGAGTAAGAAAAGAGCATGAAACCTTTTTATCTATCTATAATCATTACTTTCTTTGCCTAGAGAGAATTTTTCCAGAGATAAACAAACAGAGCTCAAAAGTAAAATGTATAGTTTTGTAGGAAAGGAAGTGCAAGTAGGAAGGAAGAGTAAGAAAGAGAAGAAGAGAGGGAGAAACACAGAGGCCAGGAAGCAGGGAGGAAAAGCAGCTGGAACGGTGGCAGGGAGCCGCCTGGTGTCCTCGCCGCAGAGGCTCCTGGGTCGCCATCACCCGGCTTCAGGCCCACTCTGTGCACAGCACGCGGAACTTCCTTTCAGGTGATCTGGGTGCACCCCTGAGGGAGCCACACAGCCAGGCCTGGTGATCTTGGTCTTCAGTGCAAAGTTCCCCCAAAGAAGTTTCTAGCCCTTGAGACTATTTCCTGATTCCTACTCCACTCTGTGTGATCACCAGCCTTCATACATGTGGCTCTCATAATTCTTCCGAAGGGTTTCTCTCTACCCCTTAAGCAGACTGGCCTGCAGGAGCCAGGTCCGACTAGAATGGAAGCTTCTTGTAAGTAGTCACCCTGTTTTTCAACTTTGAATAGCAGCATCGAACAGCGCAGGGCACTCGGTGGGCCACTGGCGAATGAATGAGGGAGTGGGCTTCGCCTGGGGCAACGACCACACCCCCCACCCAGGCCTGCGGAAACCACCAGGCGTCATCTGCCACGCAGGAGAAAGCAGGAATTTAGAGGGTGCCAACTGTGGGCCACAGGGGACGACGGTATGCCAAAGGGTCCTCAGTACCAAAGCCCTCCCAGACGAGGCCCTGGACAAGCTCCCAAAAGCTGGAAAAGCCGAGAGAATCCACGCTCTGCTTCAGTGGCAGCTACCAGGAAAATCAGCTCCACGAAGGCAAGGTGTGACTCATTCACCACTTTATCCCTTATCGTTACACCTGAAATGTGGTCAGCGCTTCTATGTATCTGGTGGTTGGCTGGATGGGAGAATGGACGGGGGTGGGAATTGATGGATGAAAGCGTGGGTGAGGGATCAAATGGGCAAGTGATGGGAATGAGAAAGGAGGAAGGATGCCTTCCTGTCACATCAGTAATACCCAAGTGACTGGACAGGCAAGCCAGTGAGCGGACGTGTGCTTCATGGATACCCTAAACTTATTCCCAAAGTTTTAATAAAGAATAATAGCCTTCTTTTCCAATGTCTCCATAAGATAGAAGGCTTAATCATTCATTTTTTAAAATGATTCTTTCAGCCCTGATTGGAGCATTGTCCTGGACACCAAAAGGTCCCCGGGTCAGGGCACAAGCCGAGGTTGCAGGTTCGATCCCGGCTGGGGCGCGTACGGGAGGCAACCAATCTGTTTCTCTCTCACATCGATGTCTCTCTCCTTCCCTTCCTCTCTCCCTATAATCAATGAACACATCCTCGGGCGAGGATTTTTTTAAAAAAATGATTCTTCCAAAAATTTGACTATGATCATGTGAAATGGATATCCTCCTCCAGTCCTTACCGAAACAGGGACTTGGTAATCCTAGAGTGGAGACGCTTGTGACTTCCTCCCTTTGCACTGATTGGCCACATAGTTAAATGATCGGAGGGCAACACAGTTAAAGGTCTGAGAGTGAGCGGGACACTGGGTTAAACCCAGCTCATGCCACGGGACTCCTTCCGGGCCAACCTGGGAGTCAGAGGCCACTGCTGGCCTGTCTGCGGGGACAACCCAGCAGCCTCGCCACCGGGAGCGGGGGAGGTGAGAAGGACGTCTGCCCCGTGTTCCTTTTTTCAAGTTTGACAACTCGACGAGGGCCCCTTATGGTGACGGGCACTACACTACATGTCAACAGAAAAAAATGCCACCTTTCCGCCTCCTTTCTCCACTGAAGACAGCACAGCAGCTGCAGGTCTGACTTCACACTAAGCCTTTTGTCATGATAAACTGTTCGTGACTAGAGTTTGTTCTCCATCAAGCAGGTGAGGGCAGAGCTCAGCCAAGTTTCCCCTCACCCAAGCTTCTAGAAGCTACATTGTGGCAGGTGTGGCTGAACTGTGTAAGAAATGCCCTTGAGCTGCAAGGAAAGGCAGGAAGCAAACCCAAGAGTCAGAGATGCAACTGAGCAATTTTCCAAGTGAGAGGAACTGCCCAGGGCCACAGCCCTTTGTCCCTGCCTGTGCGCCACAGGAGTGAAAGGCTGCGGGTCCTGCCAGGCGGGGCTGCTCTCCTTGTGGGTCCCCACTGTGTCCCGCTCCTGTCCTGGTCCTGAAGCCCAACAAAGTATCTGCAAACAATGGATTTCACATGGCCTAAGATGCACATTTTTTGTTTTAACATTTCTCACACTGGTCTGTACGTACAACAGACGCTGTCTTAACATCAACTGGCAGAGGGCCTGGCCGGGTAGCTCAGGTGGTCAGAGCGTTGTCTTTATGCCAAGGGGGCAGGTTCAATCCCTGGTCAAGGCACATGCGAGAATCAACCTGTGACTGACTCTCCCCCTCTTTTTCTCTCCCCGCCACTTTGTCTCTTTCTCTAAAATATATTTTTAAAGTTTTTTTTCAATTCACGTGCAGAGTTTGTGTGTGTGTGTGTCAGTATCACATGAAAACAGTGGTGTGCCCTGCCATCAACGGGGTCTCGACTGGCACCGCAGATGGCACTTAGAGTTCACCAGTGTCATCGGGGTCTCGTCCTGCACATTATTTTTCTGTGCTAGAGGCTTCCAGAGGACAGCTGCCAGAGGGGTGCGATCCTCTTTTTGGCACCACGCCCAACAAGGCACGCAGATGCCTCATGACGGTGGCACAGCCAGGAGCTGAAAGCAGTTGCTGGAAGTTGCTCAGTCTCACGGCTGCAGTGACAACTAACTAATCTGGCTCTAACTGTTGATCTAACAATTAGCTATCCACACAGAAAGGAAAGGCAGTAGTAGCAGCCTCAATCCATTCCCCAAAGATTTCCTTCCAGAACAAGGACAGAGGCATCTTTCATTCAGGGTATGTAGGCTCTTCCTTATAGTCCAACTTAACACATGCCTCAAACTGCCTTTTGAAATGAATGTTCCCAATCTTTAGCTTTTTAATTTGTAACATAAGGAAGTAACGGAAAAGGGTATGCAGCCAAGGACAAAGGAAAATGCCTCACGAACTAAATGACCGTGCATCACATGGGAACCTCCACAAACCGAGGGCTGCCGGGGCCCAGAATTGCATTTGGCCTCCAGTAGAGCTTTGAATGTCCTAACTACTTTGGAAGAGCCAACCTCGTGAGACGTGAAGGAAGAGGCACGCTACCTGTGTGCGGGGACATCTCGTCCAGCAGCTTCACCATGCCTTCTCCTTGCCGGGAAGTCCACATCTTGATGGGGGACCCGCCTCCGATCCTGCGGTACTGCTCCTGGATTTTGGGGGTCCGGCGTTTCGCGATGATCGGTGCCAGCTTACTAAATCATTTAACATGCAGGTCAGTGGATTGCCTTCCACCTTAGCAACCTCAGAAACATTTTCTACTCAATGAGGAAAAGATAAGCAAAATTTTAAGAAGAGCCTAACAAGATCAAGCCTTTAAAAATAGAAGCTTGAGGTCACTGACAAGGCCCGGCTCTCTTGGCCTTCATGAGAGAGAAAACTAGACACTCTAGAGGCTGTTCTAAACCCTGACAATTCAGGCCCCCGAACGAGTGGGCAGAGACCCAGATGTGTGCTAGTTACGATCCCAACACCTCTCAACCCTGCCCCTAGCGGAGCTGGGACATGTTAGACATTAAGAAGCATCTACTCCTCCTAATGTAAGAAAAAGTTTATTTACCCTATAGATATACTTGCACATATGAGCAAAGGTGTATGTACAAGCATGTGCATGTAGCAGTGAAACAACCTCAGTGTCTGTCAGTGAGACACTGGTTAAATAAACTAAGGCACACCACACAATGCAATTCTTTAGTCATGAGAAAATTGAGCCAGATCTATATAACCTGTTATGGAACTATCTCCAAGGTACAATAAATTTGAAAAAAATATATAGTAAAGTACCCAATCATGTACATGGTTACATTCGCATGTGTGTAAAAACGGGGGTGGGGGTGGATATATGTGCGCGTACATATCTATGCGTGGCTATGCACGGACTGTTTGTGGCTGTGAGAGCGCCCACCTCCAGGGCGGGTGACTGGGCAGCGGGAGTCCAGGTAAAGGCGACACACGCTTTTCGCTGTAAACACTCTTATCCTATTGCATTTATATTACATGCAAAGTATAAATTTTGAATTCACAGCAATGCGTGTCAACCAGCTGTTAAGTGCCAAGAACAAATACATCCCTACAGACTTTCACGGGACTTCGGCTGGGCCAGGACATCTGCAATTTCGGGAGCTCTGGGAGGAACGGGCTCAAGCAGCGCCCTCGCTGACTGCTGTCTCTCTCCTGCAGTTCTCCCAGTATCACATCCCTCTTACAGCTCATAGAAAATCACGGTGCTGCTCCAGCCACTAGCAGGTAGGCAGTAAAACTGCCTCGTTTTTTCAACTACAGAACTGAGATACGGTAAGGCAAAATGCACTGGACAAGTTATGAGTGAATACTGGTGTTCAAGGCATCTTACTTCTGAATAGGAAGTGTTATTAGGTCTCGGTCCAAGAAGAGCCTCAGAAGGAAGTCGTGCACATCCCCAAGCGTTTCAGGGCCTCCCATGTTGAGCATCAGTATTCCAGTTTTCGGCTTCCTAGGTAATAAGATAAAATGCAACAGTTGATTTAGGACGCTTTTTATTTTCCTCTACGGAACAATCTTGGTTTGGCTAGCAAACTCTCGTCGAATCTGTTCTGTGCAAAGGTGAAAACCTGCAGACCTGCTTGCCGCTACCCCGTGGCCACCTTCTAGGGAGCTCACGCAGCCTCCCCATCCGTGCGGTCCCAGCTCAGACCCTGGCCTTCGTCAGGGAGCTCTGTCCTTGGCAGGGGCCTTCACTGGCCTCAGAATGTTTCTCTGCTAAACTTTCAGCCCTGAACAAAGATCCCGTTCTTTGGGGAGTGAAAGTGAAGGTAGAGACCTAAAGTTGTCCTAAGGCAGGAGCACCTGTTCATGTGAAAGCCTTGTGAATACACACGTTACTTGATCTCTCCAAACTTCAGTTTCTTCATCTGTAAAGTAGAGAGTCTACCTTCTGCCTCAAAAGGTTGTTTTGAGAATTAAATGGATAGTGTACTTAGTCATTTAGCACAGTGAGTTTTTTTCCACACAGAGAAGCCTTGGGTTTCCCTATAATGGTATACCAGCCCTTGTTTCACTCTAAAACTTCTCTTTATTTGGTTATCAAATTAAATCATTACTGACTTAAATTATTTCTTGTCACCCTGCTTCCTAATCCAGCACCTATCTTTACTCCTTTAGGTAATACCTGTAAGAAACTGTCTAACTTATAGCAAATCAGTTTTAGGCTAAAGAATGAAGCACCAAATAAGCAAGAAGAAGCAAAAAGACAAGAAAACTCTGGAATAAAAGTTTTAAGTCAAGCAGCATCTGAGAAATCAAACAAACAAACAAAAACAAAAGACCTAGGCAAAATGTAAACGCCTAAAATCCAGAGCAAGCCTAGAGTCTACCCAGCCCAAAGTGAGCGAGGCTAGAAAGAGTCCTCTGTTCCTACGCCTGCCAGGGGGCCACGTGGAGCCAGAATAGGGCCTAGTGCCTCCTGAAGGCTTCTGGGAGTGTCTGAAAGACCATGAGCAGAGACTGGGAACTATGAGGTCAGAGCCTGGGACAGGACCACGAACTGGAGGCCTGTGCGTCCCCACGAACTGGGAGCCATGAGATGGCAGTAAAAGAGCCTGCAGGAGGGTAAACTAAAGGGGACACGGGAGTGTGTCTTCCACTTTTTTTTTTTTCATTTTAAAAAATTTAGATATAATTCACATACTACAAAATTTGCCATTTTAAACTGTCCAGTTCAGTAGTTTTTAATATATTCACAATGTTACGTGACCCTCACACGTTATCTAATTCCTGAACACTTTCATCACCCCAAAAAGAAAACTCGTACCCATTAGAGCTGCTCCCCATTTTCCTCCCCACCACGCCCGACAACCACGAATCTACTTTCCGGGCCTATGATCTATTTAGGACATTTCATAGGAACAGAATCATAATATGTGATCTTTTGTGTCTGGCTTCTTTTACTCAGCATAAAATTTTCAAGATTCACCTATGCTGTAGCATCAACCAATACCTCTTTCCTTTTCAGGCTGAATAATATTCCATCATATGGATACACTCTCCAGTCTCCCTTGATAAAGCAGCTGAGAAATAGCTAGTCTGAGGTTTATCTGAACACCATTATTACAAAATGCACCTTCTAAATCTAGAAGTCAAGACTACCGCAGTGGCTGAACACAACTTGCTGAGGTGGCTCTCGCTCGGAAGACTGTCCTTGTTGTGTTCTAAGGCTAGTGATACTGTGATGACATTTTATTTGCAGTTGTTGAACAACGGCTGACAACATCTGGCAGTCAGTGGTAGACAGCACAGTGTGTCAAATCTGTACAGGTGGGAACTGCTCCCTTGATCAAGCATCCTGTAGGTGAATGAGGTAGAAATCTAAATTTGCAGATGAAGTTTTCAAAATCAGAACCAATTCCTGGGAAAGGAAAATGTGGCATTACAATGAAGTCGGGGATTTTCTCATTGACACCCCATCCTATAGATTCACTAAATTCACTTTTCATATCGTTGTCTTAGACCAGTAAGCCACGGCACTACTGAGATTTCGGGGTGGGTATCTTTGGGTGTGGAGGGCTGTCGTGTACGCATTGCAGAAGTTTAGTAGCATCCCTGGTCTCTACTTAACTAGGTGGCAACAGCACATACCTCACCCCAGTTGTGACAACCAAAATCGTCTGCAGACGTGGCCGAGTATGTCCTGGGGGACAAAAATGCCCCCCACCCTCAGTTGAAACCACTCTATTAGACAAAGGGGGTTTAGTCTTTTTATTAAACCACACAACTACACTGAAGATGTCCTTGTTCTGTAACTCTTCCACCCCCTCTGACCAGAAGTCCTATCAGGGAATTAACGAATGTGTTTATTTTTCTTTTCTTGATACCTGAAAATTCCAGATTCATTTTATTGTGAAACTGTAATATTCCCCCAATCTTTCTACTCAGACTGCCAGTGTTCTCCTGGGATACTGTCTTCCACTTTCAAAATCTGTGATTCACAATAAATTACGTGCATTTTTCTATGGACTGCTGCCAGTTAACAGATTAGTGGTTAAGAAACCCCAGGCTAAGAGACTTACCTAAGCCACAGAGCGTATCAATGTGCAAATGGGATTTAGAACTGCTTTTCATCTACACCTGAGCTCACAACAAGAGTGGCTTTAGACGGGATGGTACCCTGCCCTGCAAACCCAGGTTTTGCAAATCATGTTGATTTTATACAGGAAAGAGATGAAAACACCTAATACACACGCACTTAATTCAAAACTGTGTTGTGCATGACAAGCGGCGCGTTAGTAGCCCTAGTCCGACCCCCGTTCCCAGAACGGGAGCGCAACGCTTTAGTCGAGGGTCTCTGTCTCTCAGCCCCTCCAGACAGAGCGCATCTGAGACCAAGGCCTGAAGAGCCAGCCTCCCTCTGTTTGAACGTGAAAGTGCTTGCAGCAAAACATATTGAAAGCTTCTCACTTTGAAAGGTATCGACATTTTGCCATTTTTCTATTCTGAGACTCTCAAAATATGAGCGTTTTTTTTCCTTTGAACTGTTAATGGGACATAACAGAAACTTAGCTCATCAATACATAGAATTCTGTTCTACAGTTTGTAGTCCCCACAAGATGCAGTTGGCCTGTGGGTCTCTGCTGCCTCTAGAACAGGGTTTGGCAAACCACAGTCCACGCACCAAATTTGCAACCTGCACCTACGCTTGTTTTTCAAATAACACTTTATTAGAGCACAGCTCATTTATTACATATTATCAATGGTTGCTCTCACATGGCAACAACAGAGTTGAATAGCAGCAAAAGAGACCAAAAGCCAAAAAAATTTACTCTCTGGCTCTTGGCAGACAAGCTGGCTGACAACCAGTCTAGTTGACTGTTTAATCTGGTATTGTCTGCTCTAGTCTACTCCAAGCTCTAAGCAGCACAATGCCTTCACAATGTCTGGCACCAAGAAATTCACGAAGATGCTCATGACTTCATCATTTCTAACATCTAAAAACTAGAAGTAATCTACATGCCCCATAATATAGGACTGGACAAGTAAATTATGATTTAATACCCTTACATTATTAAAATAATGATAGTGTTTATATTTATATGGTGACTTCTTATTAAATAAGAAGTTATAAAAATAGTATGTACAGTATTGTCACGTTTTGGTAAATATACACAGAGTGAGTGACTGATAGATACAGACATAGAGACAAATACTAGGTGACGAGATTACTGCTGTTTTTTATGCTTGTCTGTATTTCTTAAATAAACCCACTTCTTTTGTATAAATATAAGGTCGCTTAATAGAATTTCTATTTTTTAAAGATTTTTATTAAATGTTAATAATTTAATATTAAGGGTATTTCTATTGTTGACTTTTGGCACCGAAATTATACAAGAACGAAATCATTTTTTCCAGGGATCTACATGGAATCAATTCTTCAGGTTATACTGCACACCCTAAGGACTTACAGCACTTCGTTCGGTGGCTGAGGCGCGGGCCGGGGGGGCGCCCCGGGGACAAGGCAGAGCAGGGCCCTGCTCAGCACGCCAGGACAGAGGCCTCTGTGAGCCCTGCCCTCCGTGCCAGTCGATCTTCGCGGAAGCCAGGCACTGAAACATGACTGGGGGCCCCACCCCTGACGGCCTGTGCCCTACAAACCTCAGTCTACTTAGTACTCAGTGGGCTCCTGGTCACACAATGAAAAATAGTGAACACAAAATATAAGGCTATTTTATTTTCATAGCTGTGTAAATTTCATAGAACATCTGGTCCACCAGAGAGATCAAGGGATTAAATAGTTCATCGCTACTTTCTTTCACTGTGCTTAGGGTTCAAATGCAGTACTCCCTCTATGTATAATTGCCTTTATAGTCTTCTGTTGCCTCCCTCCCAGAGGAAGACTTGAGAAGTGGTGGCTTTCTGTGACGCCAGCAACCGTGGCAGGCCTGCTGCCGTCCGCCCGCACACACAGAGGAGAGGCACGAAACGCGGACTTTATTCCTTCAAGAAATTATCGATCCTGTTATGTCACCTACAACTATGTTCACTGTGTCAACAGATGAAAAGCAATGGTAGAGTTCACTACAGGAATTCTTGGTAGATTCGTTATTTTTTTATCCTGTATCGGCCATAGATTTCGTCGGTAGAATTACATTAGGTTCATAAATACATTTCCAGCATACATAGGGTTTGTGTTATGTGACATATTCCAGAACTAAATTCCTACGTGATTTGCAGACTGCCTGTAGTCAACTTTGTGTCCTTCGACAAAAGGCCTGTGGGATTTTTATATTTGTCAACTGTACCTCAACACAGCTGGAAAAATCAATTAATTAATTAACGATTTAGAAATCTGTAAAAATTTTTTAAAACCTTTAGAGCCCCACGTGGTGGGGGCAAGGGGAGCGGGGTGGTGAAACCTTTCGAACAGTTTAACAGCTCTTGACAGGAAGCCAAGAAAACGACATCCTACCGTTTCCATCCCGGGTTTCCCAGCACCCTTTCTCCTGGGTGCTTGTCTCGGCGGGTGCTTGCATCAGTAAAGAGAAACCCTTATTAGCCCCTCAGGTTAGACTCCTACCTCTTCCCCTGTTGAACTTGAGGTTTTGGGCTTCTGGCAAGCTGGGCTGCTGCTGCGGCGGCGGCCGCTGTGGCTGCTGCACCAGACTGGCACCTCCACGGCTGACGGGTCCTCAAGCTGCCAGGCACCGCTGTGACAAAACGAAAGTGGGAGCATGAAATCTAGCTGGAAAGTGATTTCTTCTGAAGCGGTCCTCAGAGCAGAATTTCTAGATTTAAAATGTAAAGAGATGCTATGGCGGAGGTAGGACCCGCTGCCTCCCCACCCCCCAGTTCTCTGCAGGTGGGTGAAGGCGCTTAAGGCCTCTCTGAGGAGACGTGGCGGCGCCCCCTGGGATGGCTTATCAGGACCTGCCAAGAGCCTTCTTGGGAACCACACACCTCCTCCTCTCCCTGCCTTGGCCGCAGGTTTGACAGGAGCCTCGTGAGAATCCCTGCACTGTATGAAAGTGACTGATGACACATGCTGCCCAGATGAGAGGGAAGAAGTCTGCAGAAAAGGGCCGGAGCCACGGACTGAGGGAGTGGAACCCGGGCCAGTCTCTGGCCAGCTGCGCAGCTCCATCGGCCTGCAAGCCTTCTCCCATGCAGCCCAGTGCTGGGCCCCCAGAATGGCCCCTGGACCCTGAGAGTGGGGAGCCTCTGCTTTAGAGGCCCACTCTGGCGCTCCCCGGGCTGCACCCCATTGCACGGGGTATGCAGTCTGCATGGCCAAGGAATCGTGGACCCCCGGAATCCGAACCCCACATTTCTGACCTGGGTCCCAGGAGCCCAGGAGTCCCTGCCCCCCAAGCCCCACACCCACTTCCACGGTCTGCACAAACGGGGTCTGCTCTTCCCCGGATCCTTCCTCCTGAGTGAGGGCTGATCGTGCTGTCAATGTGAGCCAGTCTTGCCCTGAAGGGTACCCAACGAGTGGCTGTCTGCAGGGGCAAGAATGCAGCTTGCACACACAAGCTGGGGAGTCCAGACGTGCGGAGGCACAAGGCTCTTCACAATGTGGGACAGAGCCGGCAGTGGGAAGAGAGGCAGGGAAGCCTCCCGGGGCCTTCGCACTCTGCAGGAACTCTGAAGAGTTGGAGATTTCACCCTCCCAGGTCGTTACGAAGGTCTACTTATTGGCGTGGGAAATAGAATAGATTTCGGAGTCTGTTCGCTTGCTGTCGCACATAGGATACACGGTTCTCCACTGTGCTCTTGCCCTGGGCCCCCACGAGTTAGTGGTAGGCCTGGAGAACCCACCTGAATTGAGGAGTCCATGGGCCACACTCAGTTGCACCCCCAAACTGTACACATGACCTCCCTTTCGTATCCTCAAACCAACAGGTTTGAAACCAGCTTGAGGTCAGTCTCCTTTCTTTCTCCTCCTATGAGTCACAGGTGTCCTAGTAAGGAACTCGGGCTGGCGACCAGCAGATCTGACTCTGAATCCAGTTCTGCCACTTACTTAGTAATGTGACTGGGGTCGGGCTATAATATTTCTGAGCCTTAGTTTCTCCCCTTCCCTGTGTAAGATGATAACGCATTGTTATTGGGATCCTTGTGAGGATGATAGCAGATAAGATCAGTAATGCGTTCCGCACAGGGTCTGCCACGGATGATTAACACTGGCATCGGTTTCATTTGTAAGCGTCTAGGGCACAGGGACTACACCTGCTGATTTCTATCACCTAGAATGTCCACAAAATACAGGAGAATGGTGTCTCCAGGCCACTAAGGTTCCCAGCTATCCATATTGTGCCTGTTCCCAAACAGAGCCAATTACATGAGCTTGTGCCGAATAATCCTAACTCAAAGTGGAAGTGCAAAGACTGACATAAAGAAGCTCAATCCTGCTTAGATGAAGTCTCAGATCAACCCACATCTCCTTATTTTGACATGTTCACTTCTGAACTGCATGATGAGATTTAACCAGATTCTCAGTCATGCCCCAGTGTCTGCGATTCCTTAGATGAATGAGATTACATCAGAGTCCATGGAGTATGAGAATAGAACTTTGCCATCCCATGGCTGCTGGTAATAAAATAAAATTTCTTCCTGTGAACCATAAAATGGGGTAAGGGTGAGATGAGAGTCTCCAACTAGTACCTAGAACAATTTGACGGCAGGTAGCTATTCAAGCTGCTGAACTATTATGATGCCCTCTGCTTATAAAATTCTCTTTTCTGTGGCTGAACAAATCCTCAGAGGACGATGAAGTTACCGATCATGGATCCTGTCTGCTCAGGATTTAGAGTTAATACACTCGCCTCTCAAAGGTTTCTCTAAAATATACCTCTCCCCTAATGATCTGAAGGTTCTAGAAAAATGAAGAGTGTCTCCTACCAAAAGATTAGTGTTCATCTAGCTAGTGGAGTTTAAGGCGATCATTCAGAGGGTCAGCTGAGACTCAGCCCACATCTGAAAAGCAAGCCAAAGGCACAAACAGCACTGTGTGGTAGAGAGCACATGATCTGGAGCCAGAGAGATCTGCGCAGAAACGCCGGATAGGACCAACAGGCTGCGGCAGTGGCTGCACAACTCACTGAGCTACAAGTCTCACTTCTCTCATCTGTAAAAGGGTGATAAAGTCAATCTTGCAGAGCTGGTGTGACGGTTAAGACCAAAAAAAAAAAAAAAACAACCCAAAAAACCTACATCCAGCCCCAAGAACAGTACCCAGCACACTGAGTAGGGTTTAACAAGAGGTAAGAATCCAGTAAGTCCTCACTTAACGTCATCAATAGGTTCTACGACTTTTAAGTGAAACAACGTATAATGAAACCAGTTTTGCCACAGGCTAACTGCTATAAACAAGAATTAAGTCCTTGAGGCATCTCATCAACATTGTAACAAAATGATGTTGGACAAAGCAATGTTCTTTGAGGACCTGCTGTACTCAATACAAGGTAGCTGCCCACTTATGAACTAAGACCAGGTAATTCTACTCTTGACATGGACAACTGGTCCGCCTTTGGAAGATCTACAAACAATAAAAGCTATAAAAACTGAGAGACATGCAGCAGAAGGGAAGATAATGGAAGAAAAAAATAACTTCATTACTCCTGGACAAAGTCAACAGGTAAAACATTCCAAAGTACACCTGTGACTTAAGTTCACAGCTATCAACTGGTTCTCCAACACCAAATTATTTAACATCATTTTAATTATATTAAATGATATTTAATTATTTAATGATTGGGGATGGGGTAGAAGAAGATAGCAAAAACAAGGTACACAAGTACTTAAATATACTCAGCTCACAGCTAAAGAGCAATCCTTTTCTACCACATAGGATGTGAGGATTATTTCAAAAGGTACTTATAAAAATATGTACCATTTAAATAATGAACAGAAAAAAAGTTCTATATTGTGACTATTAATAAGCACTTGCGGAGGGGAGGCTTCAAAAAAATAATTGTTATTTTCTGGTATGAGTCAAAATGTTCTAATATGATTGAACACTGATACTCTTTATTGTTCTAGATGTTTTTTTCCTAATTACTAAAGATATATATGCTTATGTAGAAAATTTGGAAAGGAAAAGTCACAAAGAAAAATAATAATTCATTACTCTACCAACTTTCTAATTATATATGTAGATAGATACCATATGGTACACCCCAGGGACCCATATGCTAAAAACATAGAATGTAAAACTTTGCTTTTCCACTCTTATGTTCAGAATTTGTTTTCAGAAGTACTACTCAATTTTTTTCCAATCAGATCATACTAAATCCTTCATACCAAACAAGATGATTAAGGTATTATAACTACATCCTAAAATCAGGGTCCATAATACAACTGGATGTCAAATCTACTTGTTACAGTTTCTGAATCCTTCCACTTAGTTACTTATATCTTGAACAACAAATCATTTAAAGTTTCTCATATTGTCCATGACCTCAAATCTAGGGCCTGTTGGGCTTTAACTGCGATAGGAAGGGTCAACGAAAGAAAAGATTAATTTGAGATTTCTTTTGACCCATTACTGCCACTGTGCTTCCTCTTTTTTAAAGATCATGCCTTTTGTCTCCCAGTCCCCTTAGTGACCCGATCCTCATTGTACTCTGGGTCCTTATTATTTTCTTAACAAAGGCATCTGTAATAAAATACGGAGGTTCAGAGTGGGTTCTTTCCATTCCCTCTCAGTAGATGTCACACTAATGAATTAAGAAATTTCTCAGAGAAATAAGTCTGCTGTGTCCAGTCACGATTCATATGCATTAATTAAGCATGTTACTATGTGGCAGCCTCTTTCACAAAAATAGCTGAAGTGGCTGAGGGTCTCGATGTATCTACTGTGTGCCAGGCACTGTGCTACAGGCCTTACCTGCATCCAGCCATTCTCCACGGCAAGTCTGGGAGGTAGTGCCTTAGTCCTTTTATGTTTACCAAAGCTCTAGGCAGGTTGAGTGTCCTGCTCAGGGCGTCACACTTAGGAATGATGCGAAGCTCCTGTCCCAACCAAGTGTGTCTGACCCAGAGTCCCATCAGCTCATCCTGTAGACACAACCTACATTCAGGGTTTGCATGAGAAATGTGTGGGGCTGTCAATGGGTCATATTTGTTAACCAAGTATCTCTAGAAAACACTAGCCCAGGCCAGAGGGTCCTGTTGCCAAGAACAAGTGAGCCCCGGATGATGCCAGGCACTAGAGCAGAGAGCATCAGTGGGCACATTTTCCCTCCACCACCAGGGAAGGAAGCCAAGGATAGAAACCCATGACAACGATGATGATGATGACGAATGGAGTGAAGAAATAAAATGGAGTCACTACAGTCAAGCTGCTAAATTATTTTAAAAAAGTAAAGTGAGGCATCAAGCAACGATTCTGTTCTTGCCTTAATTCGCCTGGGAACTTAAATTTCTGAACTTCCCAATCCTGCGTCAATACCTGGATGCACATTAGTCCCTTATGCATCAATGTCTGGACATATATTAAACCTTCAGTGAACCATCGGAATGCCCTCAAGAAGAAAAGGTTCCATTATTCAGAGCACTGGACATCTGAAAGATTCCTGTCTTAAGCCAATACACCCTCAAACCTCAAAGAATGCAGACAGAAGTGGTTTAGTTTTTAAAAGTGCATTTATAAAACTCTCAAACTTTTCTTTCTCCTTCGGAACACTCTGGGTATTGCCTAGTTGTGTTTCCCTTTGCAAATTCTAAGATCCTTAGGTAAATCTCTGTCATGTTTACTTCTAACCAAAGCCTCCTGACTTTCTAAACTCGGTGGACAATGCCTTCCTCCCTGTGGCAGACCCTTTACACAGCGTCCCTCTGTAATCCTCAAAACAATCCTGTGCCTATCGTTATTCTGACTTTGCAGATAACTAAGACTCTGAGAAATTCAGCCATTGCTGACAGCCGCCCAGCTGACCAGTGGGACAGCATGCCCCGTCCCGGCGGCCTCCCAGGGCCCCCCAGGAGACCAACGTCCCCACTCTCGACCCTTCCAGAGAAGGGTCTCTTTCCAGGACCCTTTCCTGCCCCTCGTCCCACGAGGCGCGGCTTCCTGGACTGTAAACTGCTGCTCCCGGAAGCCCGCGGGTGGGGACTGGGGGGTGGGGAAAGGAGCTGCCCGCTGTCCACGCCATCGCAGGGACCCCGGCGTCGGTGACTGCCCCGACAGCGCTACTTACTACGATCGCGGAGCAGAGCGCCCGCAGTTCGCAGGGCCGCAGCCATGTTTATGCCGAATGAAAGCATTCCGGGGGCAGCCTCCGCCGGGACCCGGATTCCTGCCGCAGCCACGCGTCCAGCTGGGGCCCGACAGCGCCGAGCCGCAGAGCGCCCCCACCGGCACCAGGGAACCCTTATCTCGCGTCGCGGGTGGTCATGTACGCGACCCCGTGGCGCGCCCACTCATTTGCTGCTGGGGCTTGGGGCGGGGCCAAGCAAAGACACGCCCCTCGCAGGGAGCCCGCCCCGGCCCCAGCACCGTCCCGTAGTCGGAAAGGGCCGCTGGCTGTGCTAGGGGCCCCTCGGCGCCACCGCGACAGATCCGTGCACTAAAGTCCCACCACAGCCCAGGTCGCGGTGCACGAATGCCCTGGTTGCCGGTGCCAAGGAACCGCAACCACAGCTCTGCAAAGGACTTCCTAGATATTTTCCCTCACTGATACTTAGATACTAGCACTTGGGCTCAGTTCTCCAGTTTGCTTGCCTAATTACAACACAACTGTGCCAACCTTATTTTGTTTAGTTTAGTTTAGTTTTGCTTTGCTTTATTTTCAGAATAGGAAAAGGAATTACTTAATCCTAAAGACAAGTGACATCATTATTCAATTTCTCTGTAGTGTCTCTGCGTAGCAGAGTTTGACAGGTGAGATCATAAAGCAAATATTACACTAACAGGATAACATTAGGAAAAGTGAAAGCCAGTACAGCCAGCGCATTTCTTAGCGGAATGGAATCCGCGCAGGGCGCGGGCACCTCCCTCACTTCTGGCGATTCCTACATTCCCACTCCTCCGCGCCCCAACCCTGCCCAGATGTTCAGCGCCTCGTGGAGAACAAGACCAACCCTTAAAACAGAAAGGTCTCAGGCATCGTTCACTCATTGAACAATTATTGAGGGACTACTGCGTGCACTGGGGAAATAGCAATGAGCAGAACAGACGGGGTGCATTTACATCGAGGTAGGGGAGAGACAAAATAATCACAATATGTACCGTTTTGGGTGCTGATGAGCATCGGAAGGAAAACTGAAGCAACATAAGAGAGACGGGGGAGGGGAGGCTAATGTAATTTGAAATAGGTGGGTCAGACAAGTCCTCCCTAACATTTGGGCAAAATAAGGGGGCAAGCCATGTGAAACAGTCCATGAAGATGAAGTCTAGGCTGGGTTGAAAGCCAATTTTCTGTAGCTAAAACTTGTGCTCTTGATTGACTTAGTTTAGTTATTATTGAAGTTAGCCCTCCTATGGTTATGAACCCAATGTAAAATGTCTAATTAAAGGGATTGCCTTTCATATTATCCACATGATCTACAAATCCAAGAAGAGATATTTCTTTCTTTCTTTTTAAGATTTTTATTTATTTACTTGAGAGGGGAAGGGAGGAGGAGAAAAAGAGGGAGAGAAACATCAGTTTCCTCCTGTATTCCCCCAACCAAGGCCTGGCCCACAACCCAGGCTTGTGCCCTGACTGGGAATCGAACCAGCAACACCAGCCCACTGAGCCATACCAGCCAGGGCCAAGAGATGTTTCTTGAAGAACACAATAAAACTTGCTCCAAGCATCAAACTGCTTTCCTACATATATATTTTGCTAACTCTACTTTCATAGCAAATGCTATATTAGTTTAACTTGCCCTTTAAGGAGTTGATCTTTATAAATAATATACTCCTTTACCTAAAGCCTAAATCTATTTCATTTAGATAAACTACACACACACACACACACACACACACACACACACACACACACTCCTTGACACTTTGAAGCGCTGGGCTAGAAAAAGTGTAGACAAGGCCAGAGAACAAGAAAAGGCCAAGGGTTTCAGATGTCTGAGCTGCAAGGGTGCTTCTCAGCCACCCCTGGGAGCACTGGATAAGTTGCCCCTCCAGCCCTGGCTGCTGTGCCCCTCCTGCTGGGTGGAGATAACCAGGGGTCTTCTGGCCCCTCCCAAACTAAGGCTGATGATTAGTGACAAGGCATAAAGGTGCCAAATCTCACGTCACCGACAGCTGGGAGGGGTTAAATTTGTATCTGACCAGAAAGGAGAAAGGAGCTAGCAAAATATGCTTTATTAAATATATTAATATAACATCTTAAGAATGAATTAGCACCATTTCATACATTTTATTCACATCTTCTGTTTTCATTTCTACTGACTTAAAAAACTCAGTCAAAATTCCTCATGTATAAAACCGCCTGGTTCACGGGGTTGTAAAGTACAGCCTAGGGAATATAGTCAATAATATTATAATAACTATGTAGGGTATGCAGGGTGGGTACTAGAAATATCGATGGTAACACTTTGTAAAGTATATGATTGTCGGACCACTAGGCTGTACACCTGAAAATAACACAAAATGATATTGGATGTAAACTGTAATTGAAACATAAAATTAAAAAAGAAAAAAGAAATGAAGGACTGATACAAGCAACAATGTAGAGGAATCGTTATGCAAAAAGAGAAGTTTTACACAAATTCCAAATAAATAAATAAAACCTCCTCATGTACAAATAAAGACTGAAAGGTTATAAATGGAAACAGAACTTCATTATTTTTTTCCAACAGAAAGTACTATATCAATTGGTATTTCTAATCTATGGCTTATTTCTTACAAACATCAAATAGAATAGCTTTCCAACAAGTATGTTTTTATGTTCTTATGAAATAAAAGCAGATAAAATGTGCTTTGTATCAGTTCTTTTCAAAGCTGATTCAAAAACAGGCCTTAACCCAGAAATTGTGAATTCTAAATATGGGTTTACTAAGAAAACTGGAAAGGCCTTTGAAAGGCTAAAGCCATTTACAAAACTACATGAGATTGCTATGCTTACATATGCATTTTATTTGTATACTTATGTTATATAAATGCATTTTTTTTCTGGCTCACATATTTGTCACAAAATTACATACTGCTGCTTCACAAACAGGCCGAAGGCAGTCCCTGCGGCGGCTCCGCTAAGCGGGCCCCCTGCTGGCGGGAGGATGGCTGCGCAGGCGACCTCACGAGCGAAGAGGGCGCTGTGCTGTCACGGACAGCGCCGCCCGCCCGTTCGGCCTGTGGTCCTCAATGGAATGAATTTGTTGGTTTCAGCTCAGTGCTTCGGGGAAGGGGGGCAATCGCCTTATTCATTATTTGCCATGATGGACACCTCTGAGCTACTCAAACTAAATTTAGATTACTCAATTCTATTACCTTAATCAGAAAAACAACAGGCAGGTGGAGGTGGTGTTCAAGGCAAGGGAAACAGTGGCTGTGTGAGGAAAACAAATGATTACTCAGAGAAATCTGATCGATTGTCCCCACAATTGTTTTACAGCAAAGTGGCCACCCAGCTCAGGCCAATGTGACATGCGTTTTGACTCCTTGACCCCACAGAGCCTTTAAGCTTACCAGTGGCGATGGGTTTATTAAGATGCCTCTGCACATATTTACTGAGTGTCTACTATGAGCAGAGCAATGTAAAGGCTGAAAAACTGACAAGTAAACCAGACCCTCAAGTAGCCCATTCATTTATGAAACAAATACAGTGTGTATGGAGAGCCAGCTAGGCCAGGCACATGGTGGGCACAGGGCCTACAGCCATCAATTAGACTGTCTCCACTTTCATGACACATTCTAGAAGGCAAAGCAGACAACATACAAAAGATACACAATATAAAGTGAGGGATGGCTAGGAGCCATGTATAAAAATAAAAGAGGCCAAAGAATGCAGAGAGGCCGGAACAGCGGGTTGGACCGGGCCTCTCTGCAAAGGTGGCGTTTGAGCAGAGACTCATGGGGAGGGAGGGAGGCCCTCTGGAGGGGCTTTGCAAGCAGAGGAATCAGCAAGTGATGGCACACATTTGAGACTTGTATTAGTTTCCCAGGGCTTCCAGAATAATATACCACAAACCAGGTGGCTTAAAACAACAGAAATTGTCTTCCAGCTGCAAAAGTCCCAAATCAAGGTGTCAATGGGACCATGCTCCCTCTAAAATCTGTTGTTTTCATACTGTTTTGTTTTTGCCTGTTTCAGGCTGCAGGAAGAATGGGTACAGCTACCCAACAGAAAGTTTTAGGGGCCATCTATGTAAAAATAAGGATAGAAGCTAGCCATTCATTCATCCTGTTTTTACAAAACAATTTCCAGGGAATTCATCTCTCTCCTTGTTAATTTGTCCATCCTAACAACTAATAATTGAACTTGTTTTTCCTTTTGCTTATGTCCATTCCATTTTGATTTGCCTTCAACTACAGAATAAAGACCTTTGGGTAAAGACAGGGATTCCAAAACATAATTTGATTCCTTCCTCCAAACCCCACTAAAATGTCATTAGAGATTTTGTTGCTGATGGTGGTGTTTTTCAACCACTAACTTAAAAGGATGGGGGGGGGGAGGGAGCAGAAGGGGAAGCAAACCAGAGAAACATCATTTGGGAAGCTGGAAGGGAGATGGACAAATGATTCTTTGTTGGGAAATGCCCTGTCTGGTTTGAGGAACTGAAACCCCTCCAGGAGGGCCCCAAGGCTGAAAATAATCAGGGAGGCCTTGGAGAAAACAGGCTCCTGAGGAGACATAACCTGTCCCCCCCTCACCTGTCCCCCCTGGCAGGGGCCTAGCTCCTGCCTCTGCTTTGCCATGTGATGGTCGGTAATCCATGATGGGTAAGTTATTTCGTGCTGAGATGACAACCTAACACAGATATCGATTGGGTATTGGCAGCAGACAAGAAATTGGGGGACATGGTTAAAGGGCAAAAAGGCCCACACCCCTTGGTTTGGCTTGGATATGGCCAGAGTCCTCATTCTATTCAAAAGCAGTCTCCTTGTCTCTTGGCGGCTCCCTTCCCCCGTGTGGCTCCCGTGTGGCTCAGGCTTGAAACAATACCGGAGTCAGTCCTAAACCAGATCTGGTGGTTCCTGGGGAAATTAGGCCTAAAAGTAAATTCTTTAAATTGTGCTTTGTTCTTCCCTTCGAAGCTCTAGCCAGCTCATGCTGGGAAGGAAGTTTACATTATCCACAGACCCTAACCCTTAGGCACTCTTGTGTTTACTATGCTCTCCTGTTTAGTCGCCTCTCTTGTTTACTAGTCTCCTCTCGGACCCATGTAAATCGGTCTGTTCCTGCCATTTGTTTTCTTCAAAACATCACCCACTCTCTGTTAACATTAACATACTGATGTAATGAGATAACCTCATTCTTGTTACCTAGCCACACTGATAACCTTTTCAATAAGCCTTTGGAAAAAGGGGCCAGTGGGGCTTCTCCACTAGCGAAGTGCCCTGTCCCCTCTCCTGGCAAACAGAAAAGTGTTTGCGATGACTCATGCTTATTCCCCCATCCGTGACAACCCTGGGACCAGCTCTGCAGGATTCAGAGCCCTGCTCCCATCTCAGCTGGCCCTGCATGGTCACCCTCAGATCCTGGAGCGCTTCGCTCCCCACGACTCGCTCTGTCCCCCCGCGGCAGTTGCTGCCCAGACCTGGGACGAGCAGCGACCCGCGGCGGCGCTCCCCCCACGCTAAAATTCATGATTTAGCAGACCCAAGAAAACTAAGTGCAAAGCTGGCCATTCTAAGGCAAGAACCATCCGGATTTACATGATAGAATCACTGTGCAGTTCAGGATTGGCAGCACCAGTACCTCTCCCTGGAAGTGGGGATGAAAGAGATGAGATGCTCGAGTGAGAGGGACTGAAAGCCTGTTGAAGGGGTCCGATTGCCTAGATTTCTCCGCTGCAGCAAGCAAGTGCCCCACCTGCCCGGCGGCAGAATGGAGAGGAAACAGAGGGATCTGGTTTGGAGGCAGCAGGCACAGTGCAGGGCAGAGAACCACTGTTAAGAGCTAGCCAACTTACCGACGGTGCCAAGACCCGGCCTGCTCCTCCTCTCGCTCGACAGGAGATGGGAAGAGTCTGGAATCTGACCAACCCAAGAAGGAAGGACCTCAACTCAGGACGCCGGTACCGGGCAGCCCGCCCGACAAGGGGTGCACATCTACCCACGCGCTTTGAGCACTTTAGTCTCCCATTTGGAATTCTCAGCAGACAACCAGCACCACCCGGCACCTGAGGGAAGACTCTAATGGAAGAACAGAGACCCAAACAGAAAGCAGCAACGTGGAGAGAACGGGGATGATGCGGCCGTGGCTGCCGGACACTGTCACTTGAGTTAGCCTGCTGCCTGTTTCTGCAACTTGGAGCAGGTCTGCGACACAAGCACCGCAGACGAAGCGGGTCTGGGTGTGAGCTTCGGCTAACAGGTTTCCGGGAGGAGAGCTGAGAAGTAAAAGCCCGGTGAGGAGAGCGCCATAACAGGGACTTAGAACCAGGGGTCTGTGTGCTGGACACTTGGGAGGGACGTGGGAAGGGGTTGCAACACCAGGGTCACGGCAACCACCCAGTGAAGGGAACAAAAGCCCCCTTGTGGGAGGTCTGCTGCTCACCGGGCTGTTCCTTTGCCTGATGTGACCGTGACCTGGACTCCCTTACTCCACCAAATCCCTCGCTCTCCCTCAATATTGAAAATTCTCAACTGATTTCCACAATTAAAATTTAGGGTCATTGAATTTAACCCCACCTAAATTCTGATCAAATGAATTGCCTACCTGAATCAAATCAGAGCTCATTTACATTCTTACAAGTATTTTTTATTTAATGATACAGGCCAAATATACTACAAATGCCCCATTTCCATGTGCCATTTAGGATAAATGCAAAATAGGATATAATCTAGTGTGTTCAAAACTAACACAAAAAACGATTACCAAAAGATGTTGCTAGGACCCACACTTTTAAAAAAATTTTTGTTCTCACCCGAGATTTCGTCATTGCTTTTAGAGAGAGGGAGAAACATTGATGCTAAAGCAGCATCACCCGATTGCCCACCGTGTACGTGGATTCACACACCCCTGGACAGGAGATTGAACCCACAACCTAGGTATGTGCCCTGGGCAGGAATCAAACCCGCAACCCTTCAGCTACCGGATGATGCTCCAACCATCTGAGCCACATGCGCCAGGGTGGACCTACATCTAATTTTTAAAAATCATTCCTTTGATTACCATGTAATGTTGGTAATACCTACTATATTTAATATCTAATTTCACATCATAAAAACTACACACATCATGAAATATAAAAAATGCAAATGCATGAATGTGAGAGAGATGTTCAGTTTTAAAAAAATTAAGCCAGTAAGAGTTTTCATGTGTGTCCATTTATTGATTGCTGGAATACAGCCTGAGAACACATGACACGCATTTTGGGGGAGAAATTAACAAAATTTGAAATGAAGCCATTCAGTGAGTCCGCTGAGGCTCAGTAAGGAAGTATGGATTAGATTTGAGAGTATGGCAGGGATGACTCAGTCACTTAAGAGTTGTCATTAAGAAATTCTTTGGAATATATTTATTCTTAATTATTTAGGAACTACCAGGAAAGGAAGGTCAGTCTGCCTTTAGCTTAAATTAATGCTAGGAAAGATGCTATTCACTGAAGTACTGAAAAAAAAAATTTTTGCTCTTCAAATTGCAAATTCTTCCATATCAATTTCTATGCCTCAGAATTATAAGCAGCTGTACAGATTTAGAAAAGGTTAATAATTGATGCAAGAGACTGTTCACTTGATTCCAGTTTCTATTGTTGAATTATACTGTTCTAATACTAGCAAATTTTTACACGACTGTGTCAATCTTCCCAAGATGTTTAACTCATGGATACAGTAAAATGATAGAAATTAAAGATTTTCAGTTAATTTAAAAGGACAGAAAGTTTAAGTAACCGGAATGCATTAGACCATAATTAAAAACTGTTTAATTATATATAGTATATATGGTGAAAGATTAAAACTTGTAATTCGGTAAAATGCTGAAATATATTCATAACAACAGAGTTACATGCCATGTGTGTCTCCCAAATTTTTGTAATGGATATTTTTTCTTAAAATGACAACTGCAATGTCACTTTATATTCCAGTGTTTGGATTGCTTTGAGTGGTAGCAGGAAGAGAAAACAGAAGCAGAGAGATCCCGATGGGATGAAAAGGGAAGATCTTGCTTTTTGTTCTTCATGAAGAGGCCGCCTGCCGCTCTCCTGAACCACACACCGCGTTTTCGCTGCAGTGCTTTGGGAGGAATCGGCTATGGCCTGCAGCGCTGGACGAAGCGGGGATATAAGCACACATCTCGGATGTGGTACCTGTTCAGAATCCAGGTTAAGAAGCGTTCCAAGCCTAAGCCATATCCTCCATGAGGACAGGTCCCATATTTTCTCTGTTTAAAAAAGAGAGGAATATGCTTAGTTTACAATTTTTTCTAAAATACTTCAAATTTTCTACTGTGAAATGAGTTAGTTTATTGTGGTTAAGAAGTCAATCCTTAATCTATATACCTATAAAGAAACAACTTGGTATGAAAAATAAATGAGGAATTAAGTGCCACCTTGGAAAGGAGAGATTTCAAACTTTTAAACTGAGTCACTGCCTCTGGTTACAAGAGGCAAATGAAAGATAGCACTAAATACTGTCAGATCGAATTACAAAGGTTTAAAAGTTCAGTAGCGATGAGCAAGGCCAGCAGCTAGATAGTGTTTCAAATGAAGTTAACATATTATTAGCCAAAACCAAAATGAGCAATGTTCATGGCACATTATTATAATCATGAAACTGAACACAGCTCTTCAAATGCCAAAGGCCAACCTTAATTATCTCCTTTTAAATTTCAATTTATACAAAACCAAAACAATGAAAAAAAAGTGCATGTTTTTACCTGATCAGTGTACCAGTAATAGGGAGTGGGATCAATTCCTTCTCTTTTATAACCTGCTAGCATTTCTTCACTGTCCCAGATACGCATTGAGCCTCCAACAATCTCACCGACATTGGGCATCAACACATCGACCTTTAAAAACAAGTAAATCAAATGCAGTTATGACCAGGCCACCAGTCATGGCATTGCTCTAGCACTTAAATGAAAATCACAAACAATTAAGCTTCTGTAGCTAAAGGAGTACTATGATTGTGCAAAATTTAAATATTAGTCCAATTCTATAATTTAACAAGGTACGTTACACCCTATCAGAGGACCAAGAAAGCTTCAACACTGTTCGAATCACAACTGACAGATTCGGTGAGGCGGGAATCCTCGGGACATCGCTGCATGTAGAAGGACTTGATCTCCACAGGAAATCGACACAGCAGGATGGGCTCATTAATGGTGTCCGTCATCAGTCTCTCAGGAGCTTCTGGGATGTCCTGAGGTTAAACAAGACTCCGTTAACATTTACAGCTCAAAATGCAGCAAGACAGAAGCAGCCCTTCTGCTCAGGGCCTGCCCTTTGTCGTCTTCACGCACCACAGGAGAGAGCGGGCACCGCCAGAGCCCGCACACACGGCACGAGGGGCGGTGCCTTCCAAAACAAATTAATGTATTTAAAAACTCATAGACATTAAATGGACTATAAAAAGATCTGCCTCTTTCTACAATGTATCTCATGTACCACGCTGCTGGAGGAATGAAAAAATCCCCCAAACCAAAAAAAAAAAAAAAAAGAGGAAGAAAACCCACCCAAGTTATTATTCCTGTGACTAGGTATTGCTCAGCTGTTCTTTCAGTGGCAAGTTTTATCTAGCTCAGAAGCAAACGTGGTCCACTTGGTCCCGTAAGGCATAAGGTAATCAGTGAATTCTCCAGACCGTCATTGATCTGGTGTCTGTTATTAGTAACAACACTCTTTAAACTCTCCTGCTATCTGCACTTCTTTCCTATTATAATAAATCTAAATGCCTTCAATGATAGTAAGACACTGTCATAAGACAAATAACCAACATCAAATTTTAAGTGTAACCACACCTGGAATAGTCAGCCAAGAACTGCTGCTGATGAAGAATCTGCTTCTCTCTCAAAATATCCTTCAGTTAACCCCATATAAGTTCCAGTGAAAACTGGAAACTCTGCCCCAGTAACAACGGGATGAAAAAACTAGACAAGACTCATGGATTTGTTTAATGCGGGAGCTGAAATAGGGCTTAGCAACCCCCTGGCCCTGGAGCCCTGCGCCCTCCCTCCAAGTACAGGGAGGAAACTGGATGTGAGTGGGAAGCTCTGGTCTCTCAGCTTCGGTCTGCTGTGCATACCAGAGTTTTGCATAAGGTTTAACTGGGGGGGAAGGGGCCTTATTGCATATTCCAAAGAAGTCCGAAGGCCGTTTACCACTCTCGTGTCTTCACGGTACGGTTGTGGAGGACGGGCTAACATGCTCTGAGGGCTTCCTGTGCTGGGGACCCTGTTAGGCACTTTGCTCATAGAGTCCTCAAGGCTTTGCCAAGTGGATGTTACTTCCAAGGCAGAGAGAAGGAACCAGGGAGCAGGGCCGCTGGCCTTCAGTTGCAGAGTAATAAGGACAAAGGTGGGAGCTAAGCCCCCCTGGGGGGCCCTCTTACTGCAAAGCTTTTGTTCTTTTCATTCAGTCAAAACACTTTGCTAAGAATTAAGTAACAACAGTTCTCAAGTTTTCAGTACAAAATTCTATTATACATCATCAACTGAATTCATGAAACAATATGAGGAATTTATATCAGTCAAGTCTACTATGTGTCCTATCTATAAATTCCTTCTAAAAACAAAAGTCTAGTTCGCAGTAGTTACATTTCATCTGTAGAACAGCTGGACTTGTGTATGTAAAGGAATGCTTAAATGCACAGGGCAGAGGGCTTAGAATAGTGCCAACAATCTATACTACCCCACCCTCCCGCCCTGGCTGGGTAGCTCAGTTGGTTAGAGCATGATCCCCATATGCCATGGACCCAGGCAAAACAGATACAAGCTCACTTTATCTGGGGTACCAGGCTACCTTTCCTATCAAGGTCTCTCTTGGTTTTGCATTTTGACCAATGGCTCTTTTCTTTAAAATATTCTTTTTATTGATTGATTCTTAGAGAGAGAGGGGGAGAGTGGAAGAGAAACATTGATTTGTTTTCCACTTACTTATGCATTTATTGGTTGTGCCCATTCACTGGTTTCTTGAATGTGCCCTGACTGGGGATGGAACCCATGACCCCAGCGTATTGGGACAACGCTCTAACCAACTGAGTTGCCCAGCCAAGGTCTAACGAATGGCTGTTTTCTTCCGTGAATCTCCTCTACACAAAGGAATTTTGATTCACTGTTTTGAGTGGAGAAATCCTTTTTGAAAGAGCCAGATACTTTCTTCAGACAAACAAAACAAATATATATACAAGCCAACCTTTTGCGTGTCATTTTATGGTTCACCACTTTTTGAAGCATCCTGTCAGCCTAGAGAATCGCAACCAGAGTTTGCGGCTGATCACAGAAGAAGAGAGAGGAGGCAAAGGATGAAGTGTGAAGGCTAAATACTGGCTAACCTTTATTGAACACTACAGAAAGGCACTGTTCTCAGGCTTCCTCTAGGGCGAAGTCAGTGAATCCAGCCAGCCCCAGGGAGGAGGCTCTGCTACCATTTGTTTGCTGGCCAGCAGATGCCTCTGCACCGGCAGTTCATCAAGCAGAAGGAGCAGTCCACGGAAGCCCACCGCCACCTTTGAAAGACGATTAGAAAGGAATACATACCTCTCCAAATTCATAGAAAGTCCCATCTTCTTTCTTTATATTGTGTTCTTTTAGCCACACAATAGCATCTGAATAGTTCATCCGTTTGAAAGGCCGTTTGGGGGGCTTGAAGTTCTACAGTAGAATGAAAAATATAGTGTTTTTAAAGAACACTATTAACACTAATGTTTCCACTTTAAGAAAAACTCCTTAGTATTATTGCAAAATATTGTTTCAGACTAAAAATTAATGTGGACATTCCTAAAATGAAAAACATATATGAACTTCCTTCTAAGTTAAAATGTTATGAAATTACTGGCAATTTAAAAAAATGCATGAATAGAAAAATACTTTATTTTTAAATGCTTTCACTTTTAGGTACTCCCTTGAAAGGAATGTCAGAATATTTTAGATGAAAGGGGTTTCAAACTTTCTGTGGGACCCTGATCTGGGAAGGAGACAGGGGGACCTGACTACTGGTGGTCGGCTCACTGGGAATCTGTGCAGTAAAACGCAGAATCCGAACTAACTTCAGCAAACTCGTTATTCCCGGAATCCACGGGTGTGAAACTACATATTGTTATTTTTCAAAGTCCATTCTGCTTTTACTGAAATGCAACAGTCACTGAGCACCAACTACATTACTTATTATGTAGTCCGGCTAATTTGTCCCTAACAAAGACAAAGCCAAGACAACCTTCTCTCTTCCATTGTGTATGTACGTGTACGTGTGAAGCTGTTCGCATATTCTTGGTTAGTTCATGTGTGAAGCAGCTTGGAGCAGTGGCAATTCTTAGCCACTTATTTCAAAGCTCACCAACCCACTTAACCTATAAAAAACTGAGGCTGAAAACTTCATTGCCTCCCAAAATGGACCCCCAATTTTGTATTCCCATAAAACACAAGACCTACCGGGTTGAGCTCATACACTATGCTCGCCACGGGCGATTTCAAGACTCTGTCTACCACGTCACAAACCAGGTCCTCCAATCGGTTCAGGAGGTCCTCAAAGGTCAGGAAAGGGCACTCAGCCTCCACGTGGGTGTACCTGAAGAACCGGACACTGGCTCAGAGCTCCTCTCCGCGTTTACTAAGTTTCCCTTGAACAAGGACTTTAACATTGGGAAACTTTCAGAAAGGTAGAATTCCATCCTTACTAACCACCCCCAGCTCTACAAATCAGTTTAAGACCACCCACCCACCCTTCGCCTTTAAACAGTGAATTCTTATCTATTCCTTTAGACATAAAGGATCAAAGCACAGTAAAAGGAAGGTCTTAGTTAGCTATGGCCTTAGAGGCAAAACTTCTTACACGGTTTCGATGAACTTTTTCAACTGCCCTTCACATATCCTCTTAGTATACCAACACATTTACATAGTCATCCCTTGCCTACATAAAGATGGCTTTTCCAAACATATGTTCTTTAAAAACTGTTTAAAATAAAAATAAAGAGACATTGCCTACTCAGCCAGGTGCCTTCGTGTTCTGGACTGTTCTGCCCTGTATGACTGCGCAATACAAAACACATCTCCCAGGGCTGGGATGCAGGTCTCCAGGTACAACTGAGAGGACTGAGTCAAAAATGCCTCTTCCCCAAAATAGTCAAGCTTGAAGAGTGTGGCACCGCCTTCTACTTGTGTTTGCACTAATGTAGGAGGAGTCACCTGTTCAAGTGAAGAGGAGTAAACAAAGGCTGATTAAGGGAACCTCACAAGTGCAAAGGTGTCACCTGCAAAATATGGCACATACTTACCTCGCAGTACCCCCTATCAAAGAAGTGGTCTCTAAAGCACCTGGTGACCATGGAACGTGCTTTCAGGATTTTGGACATGTTTTCTCCTCGGATCATCATGTGTCTGTTGTTGAGCTGGACATCAACGTCAGACTCCTCGTTGATCAGGTTGTCAGCTCCTCCGGCGGGGGCCAACCCGATCAGTTCCCAGAAGTCACAGCTCAGCTCATGGCCCCCGGGAGCCTACGTTTTTTAAAAGGGGAGTGGGGAGATGAAAGGGAATGAAAAGAAAGCAAACAAACAAACAAATAAATAAAAGTTACTGTAGTAAAGATTTTAATATGTGTCAAATAATCAGTCATTTGGGCTCTACCTTGCTTGGACCTGACCAGTTCCCACAACATGTTGGTTAGAATCTTCTGCTTAGTCCTGCACATAGGTAGGCCAATCATTAAAGGCCTAACCTGTAGTCTAGGAATTACTGAAACAACTACCATGCTCTCAGCTACAAAAAGTGATTGTTTGTCACCTCCTGACCTCAAATCCCCCCTTTTCCTCACCCCCATCCCCAGACATAAAAGATGCCTTAATTCTGTACTTTTTCAAGATGGTTCTTTAGGATGCTAGTCCACCATCTCCTTGGCTTGCTGGCTTTCTGAATAAAGTCGCTTTTCTTCCTACCCTAAGTCCCTGTCCCTTGGCTTATTGGCTGCCAGGTGGTGAGCAGTTCGAGCTTTCACTTGACTACAAAAACTTTTGGTAAGCTGACATTTCTAAAAACCTCATCACTATTAGCCTACCCATCTAACAAACCCAATAATTCAACCTTATATCGATATATTTAATATTCCTTTCAGAGTAAATACGCATACAAGTTTTTAAAAAGTTAAAAAGGTACAAAATGAACTATAATCCCACAACTTGAAGTAACCACTAACTACTAATAACAGTTTGGTATATCTTTCTGGCCTTTGCCAATAATTTAAAATAACATAGTATTCACATTGAAATACTCCTTAAATGCAAATATTTTACTAAAAGCTGTTTCTCTTTGGAACAGATGTAGATTAAAATTCAAATTCTCCCTGTTAATTCCATTACAAGCAATTCATTTTAGAAGCCACACATCATGGAATATATAATTGTCTTCATGCCAAACACTGGACAGCAAGAAACTCCCTTGCTAATTGCACCAACTACAAAGAAAATGCAGGGACCTCAGATCTGATATTCATTCTTAGTGTAGGTTCTTTTACATGAACTCTGACTCTTTTATCAATATTTCTAGTCTATCAGGTAGACTCTAAGGGCTCCCTCTGGTGGTTAGTATGTCACATTTGTTTGTTTTCTTGCGTAGCCAATGAATACAACCACAGTGGTAGTTATTTGAGCAATAATTAACAACAAGTAACGCTGTAACTGGTACAGGTTATGCACCCGCTGGCTAGGGAAAAAACACTTCTCTGAATATCAGAGTTATAGTGAACTTTTTAAAAAGAGGTTTTCAAATTCTATTCAGAAATTTTCAGATTTAGATTACTGTTCTTTCCTGAAATCTCTTGAGTAGATTGTCAAGTTTTTATTTCTACTTAGCTGAAAAATTATTCACATGCCCACAGCAAAGCAGCTACATTATAGCCTATAAGGATTTCTCAGGAATTCTATGAGGTTGGAAATCCCTAAGTTTGTTACATCTTATGAGCTGTACAGTAGGATTACACTGGAAAAGAAAAAGGCATACTAAATTTAGCAAGGGCATCGTATTTGTGTGTTTATATGCCAAATACCAAAAGTGCAAAAAAAGACATTGGAAACCAAACATTTATTCATCCAGTGAGAAACTCGATCCACTCACCTGCTTGCCCTTTGGGGTGAGATTCAGCATTCCATACACGGCAACACTACTCTCAGTGGACAAGACTACTCCGTTGTAACACTGACACTATAAAAAGAGTAAGTTCAAGTTAAGTGATCCACGTTTACATTAAAATATTCTAATGTCTAGAAAGCAAAAGGGATTCTGCACAAACAAGTTATCTGGTCCAAAACTAGAAAAATAAGATGGCGGCCATCAATTTTTAATATTAATAAAGAACAGCTTTTTTAATAATAGATTTATCTATATCTAAATACACACACATATGTAAACACATTCTTTACATACACACATAGGCATAAATGATACTAGCTTACATCTCTTAAAAATATCTTAATGTTTTTCTTTTTCTTTAAAATTCAGACTGTTAAAATAATACAGAGTTGATCTAAGCTACTATGATCATCAATACTTGCTAAAATGATTATCAGTGACCCCCATCACTTTATGATGCAGGGACCAGGCTATAAACACCTGAACCCACAAGTCATTAAAAAAAAAAATGATGTGCTTTACAAGAACACAGCTTTGCCCATGAAACAGTGGTGCCCCCCCCCAAAATTCTGATCAGACCTCACCTCCAGTTTATAAGATACCTCAAGAGGCAGTCAACCGAATCCAGACTGTAAGAAGTTCCACAGGATAAACAACCAGGTTTCCCTCCCACCCAAATAAATATTTTCCATAATAACAGTTTTAAAATAAATAGACAGATCCTAAAATTCTCAAAACTAACAATCAAGGCACATACTGGAAAAAATCAAACTTTTAGTCAAAAATAAGAGAAAATATTTACCAAATCATCTGACAAGACACACTGAAGATACCCTGTACCATCCCGCAACACCAGAAACATTAAATTCTTTCCTAAAAGTGAGAAAGAGAAATTTAGTCACGCTATTCTCAAGGCACTTAAAAGTACTTTCTCACAATTCAATCGTATGGAAAGGAAACTCCAAGGTTAAACACTGAGCGTTCAAACCTCCCGGTGGTCCCCTTCCTCTGAAGCGTCCACCGGTTATACCACTACTCAGCATTTGTCAAGCACTGTATCTTCTTCACTGAACTTTCAAATCCGATGTGCTTCTCATGATCCACAGATCACGGGAAAGCAAGACGGTAAGCGACATGACATGAGGGATGCGTCCCATTAGCCGCTGAATCCCCTGTAACACCTCATGGTGCTGCCCACTCAGGGGAGGTGCAGAAATCCTGTTGTACAGAATCACTCTTTTTCTTATTTATGTCACACTTCTTTTTGCAAAGGATCTGATAACCACTTGCATAAAACACATGTAATAAAATAGGGAAAGAGAGAGCAAACTGTCAGGACGCAGGGAGAGGCAGAATACAAACATACTAGTGGTAAATGTTACCACTCCTGCCACACGTATGTTTCAGATCGGCCTCTCCACTTCCCACTTTCATTCAATAATTAAGTTCAGTTAGACAAATATTTATTGGGCACCTTCTGATCACTGTGATTGTTTACAATTAAATAACACTTAAATAATATTTAAACTTTTAATAGTCATTTTAAATAAAAACAAATTTAGGATCTAAATCGCTATCTCCTTTAAAAAGCTAGCATCCACAAATCAAAATACCTTGAAGTAAATGTTTCTATATTGTTCTTCACCTAACACCAGGGATATCTGAAAATAAAAGAGAGAAAAGGAAAGCTATGCATTTACCTTGTCTACGCAGTCTGTGGACCCAGCCAAACACCTTTACTCTTTGACCTCTATATCCTTCTAATGCGTGAATCTTCACCTGTCAAATTTAAATAACAGTTGACCAGTTGTGTCATTCATCGCATCTCAACTTTTTCACTAATATTAGATGGATAATAGTAAAGGGTTAAAAATTCACAAATGGTGCAAAATTGCAGATCAGTTACTCTATTGCCGGTCAGAACCAAAAAATTTCACCATACTGAGTGGGTGAAAAAAAAAATCTGTCTTCTTTCTCTTACTGGAAAACCAACAACAAGAAACACCCAGAATTTCAGATATCACTATCGACAATCAATGAGTAAATGAATTCACAATAGCAACAGCGGAAGTCCACACGGAGCTCTTTCCCTGACCTCACCGACCCTCCAGACGCTCTGGGAGGTCGAAGTGAACAAAGGCTGGCTTTTTGTTTGTGAGATAAAGGAGAGAGATGAGTAAAAGGGATGGCGAATACAAACAGGAAAACAGCTTCATCCTTAAGGAAACAGGGAACATACGACAATTCATTAGCAATCAGAACTATCTGAAATCCAAGCATGCCCACTCTCCATCCAGCATTCTGTTCTAGAAGGAATAGAGTAGAAATCCAATTTCATAAAATCAAAAAACTGTGTATGCATCTATATGTAAAAAACAATGGAAATTGTGGATTTCCACTGCTTCATTTTATGGTGAGCAAGCGGACCGACTCCACACAGCACAGCCAGGCAGGATCCTAGGTCTGCCATTTTTTTACTGGAGAAGGAACTCGTTCATCACACAATTACTAAGCTTTATTTAAAAAAAGGAACCCCAGCCCTGACCAGTGTGGTTCATTTGGTTGGGTGTCATCCTGCAAAGTGAAAGGTCATCAGTTTGATATCTGGCAGGGGGACACGCCTGGGTTGCAGGTTCGGTCCCAGCAGGGGTTTGTGCGAGAAGCAACCGAATGACATTTCTCCCTTGAATAAATGTTTCTCTCCCTTTCTCACTTTCTTCCCTTTCTCTAAAAATAAATATAAATAAAATTCTAAAAAAAAAGAACTCCAAATGAACCACTAGTCTCAAAACTCTAAAACATTATTTCTCTTTTTCCCTTCTAAAAGGAAAGGAAAGACAGATAACACAAAGGAACAAACCATGTACAGTTTCCTCAGACAAAGAAATAATGGTCTGACATGTTTGCAACAATACACGTCATACTTACACACTTTGGCTCTGGAAGACTTGAATCGTTTTTAATGGTAATCTTCTTTGCTTCTTCCAGGTTCTTTTCTCTTCTCAAATTGTCTTCTGCCTAATTTTAATGGTAAAACAATTTGTTAATATGGTTTCTAGTGTTCTAACTTTTCAAACGTTCACAGTTGCAATTTCATTGCTCACTTCTTTCTTTTCCCGGGATTCATTCTTCATTTGTTCCCTGTGCCACATTTTCTTAATGTTCTTCATCTGTGATTTAGAAATAAGATCCCATCGCTAGAAAGAAAAACAAGTATTTAATTTTTCTAGACCTCTCTGTTCTGATGAAAATTTATCCAGAAAATAAAACTCCATAAAATGTTTGGTTCACCCTACCTCATTTTCTTTTTGTGAATCTACGTAAATGGTAGGAAATGGTTCTTTTCCCACTGTCATCAAAGCCTTGGGTGGGGGAGAGAAAAAGAAAATATCCTTAGCATTATATAGTGTATGAGATCAAAATAACACCTTAATTATGAGGCAACTTCAATCCTCTAGAGTATAATCAAGAGCCAAGAAGAATGCACAAAGTCCCAAGGGTCAAAAAAGTCCATGTTGACAGAATGACTGGTTAAAGTACCAAGAACATTTTGCTTAGCCCTCAGACACTTTCACTATAATTCTAGCAAGTTCAGTTACATAGTATAGAGTTTCCCAGCACAGGCGGACTAGAAGCAACGGATTTTAAGTGACGTACGCACCAGAGGGAGGTATGCCGACAACAGAGGAGACAGATAATAGCAAAAGCCAATTACAGATCGCATCCAAATGGTTATTCCTCGTTAAGAAACAGGTAAGTCAATTCTGAAACTCTAGCAACAAAATAATGGCTACGAACACAAAGGGCTCAGTTTCATTTAATTTGAAAAATTACTGGATGCAGAATACCCTGTTCACTAATACTGGGACACATCATGTGTTGTTGTGGCATTTAATATTTTGTAGTTCATGTTATGTTTCAAAAACAAAATAGTTGAAAGTATGTAAAAGACAGATGTTTTATTAACTGTTTCAAATATTCCTTCAAATTTTCTCCTAAGTTATTTCTCTCAACCAAGAATGTACGGAATTACTCTCTCCAACGATAAGATCTGAAGCTTACAAAAAGCGACCTTTTCTAAATGTCTAGTTTCCAAACAAAAAACACCTTTCCTCTTGTTTTAACAGTAGTTCCCACTCCGTGATTGGTACAGAGGAGGAAACTTGGGTCTTTCAAAAGAAAAAAAATCTAAGAATTCATCTTTTAAACAATTAGACTTTGTAGGGATGTTTGAAAATGATTAGGAATTCACTTAATACCTGACACTCTCTACTGATCCTTCCTTTTTTCAACACTGAAAGAGCCAAACTGTTATTCCCCCAATCTGACTTTTGCTAATAGTGACATTCTGCAAACATTCACCTAAGTAATGTCGACAGTTTGGGGAGCCCAAGTCACCCCAATGACCCAGAAATGAGAGAAAGACTTTTCCCTAACAGTTAAAAAGTAAGACCTACGTATGACATGCCAAAGCATAACTAGAGTATGACCTGAAAAAGGAGAGAACGCTCCTAAGATAGGAACACTGGATGGTCACCTACATAAATGTAACACAGCTCACAGAAAGGGGGATTGGCCAGGCACAGGTACACAGAGAAAAGTGCCCGGGCAGGGCCTTCTTAGTGCTGTCCAGGGAGGGAGCTTCAACCACCTCCTTCCATGCGGGTGCAGACATTTCAGTTCAACAGGCAAACCCAAGGCTATTTTAGGAGGGATGTCTTGATGACCCACACATTAACCCGATGCAATCAGTTATCTAACGCTCATATTCTGAGTCGATCCTCTTGAAAAACCCCTCTGATCTGTGGTTAGCTTTCCATTTAAGTCTGCTTAGGAAGAATATGCTGAACTCGTGAGGATTCTGGGCCCTGAGAAATAAGAATACATTAATAAATTATCATCTGGCTTCAAGCTCCTGAAGCAGAAGTTACTGAGCACGTGTTCTGAGAAACGTGTCCATTCTTGGTTTGCTGATATAGTAAATTAGGTCTCTGAGTCTCAAGGCTCAGGATCACAATAGGATTCTAGGGGTAAATTCACGGAGACGCCTCTTAGGAGTCATTTTGGAAGAAACCTGGGCATGAGCTCAGTGGAACTGAGGGAAGCAGATTTTTATTTTGACAAGAATTGAAAAACTGGCTATCTGACTCACTGGAGAGACAAATTCCCAGATGCAACGTTGTATAAGGAAGAAAAAAAGACACCCTTTAAAGATGTTCAAATAAGTTTAGATTTAGACTTCATACTCTTAAAGCTATGTATCCGTACATAATCCTTACATTCCCTTTTCTGAAAACTCTCTTCAGAACCTAGTGCTTGAAATAAATTGACAAGTCATGTAATAATTGACATCTGTTATTAATAAATGCAAAGTCATTTTTGTATGAGAAGAGACACTACCTTTAGACCTGTTTTAAACGGTTTCTCCTTGGTTCCATCACCTGTAGCATCATTTCCCTCTCGGTCTGAGACGTAGAGCTCTGCTGTTTTACAAAATGAGAATAAGTTTCTTATTTGGGTAATGATTACTAGTCACCTCACAGTGCAACTGCTTTATCCCTTCTATCTTTGTAAACAGAAAAAGCATCTGATTTACTGTAGTAAAAAAACTGCCACAGTCCTGCCCCGACTGGTGTGGCTCAGTTGGTTGGGCATCGTCCACAAAGGGAAAGCTCGCCCGTGAGATTCCAGTCAGGGCATGTCCTGGGCTGCAGGCTCGGATCCTGGACGGGGCCACAGTCCCAAAGAAATATCACAATTATTTTCCCCTATTTCGATGACATTCATCTCATAAAAGCACACTAGTTACAAATTTAGCTTTTCAAATGAACTTTGACCACTTTAATTTGTGATACTGCTTCCACCTACTTAAGTCCCCAGTAATAAGGAAGGGCTTGGAAGTTGGCCACACCAGCCTAGAATCTTGGGATGATGGAGAATTTATTTAACCTTTCCGCGTTTACTTCTTCGACTATAAAGCAGGGAAAACAAAGATACATCTTGAAGGGCTGAACTGAGGGTGAAATAAAATCACACACACAAATCAGATATCCCAGTGCCAGTGCACAGATGTCAAACATAGACCAGTCCTCTCTGCTCTTTACAGGAAAGGGAGGCTCTGGAGAAACAAACTGCAGAAGTCCTTCCAACCAGTAAGTCTCCTATCAGTCCAGTTCTTTTTCCTTTGCTAGTGCACCCTGCGGTTTGCCTGGAAATCTCAATATAGATGAGGATGTGTGAAAGAGGATTAGAATTCTAAAGCCCTTCTTGACGATCGCTTTGAAAAGTTACATTATATGAGGGCCACACTGATGTTCGACAGTGCCGAAGCCTCAGCTGAATCAAGGGATTCCCGCAGCGGGCAGGGCTGGGAGCGACCGCCACACCCACCCCAGGGCCCCGGGGACTGGAGGGAAGTCCGGCTGCGCCCAGCAGTCCCGAGCCAGCGGGCCCAGGGCCCTCCCACCCTCCCTCCGATCGTTCACGCCTAACGAGTGGTGGCTAGCCCATTCTGGGACAGGCCATCAGTAAATAATGGTAGCCGGGCCAAAGGAGGTTGCTGCCTAGGTATGGGCACCTCATCACTTACACGCCCGGGTCCCCGAGCGTCGCTCACCTAGCACCATCCCCGCGGTCGCCTCTGTCACCTCCAAGGACATCGTCTCCCAAAACGCTGCCGCCTAGTCACCGCAGCGTGCTGCGGCAGCTTCCCTGACTCCCACGTTGCATCATATCCCGTCGTGCTTAAGTCGTCCCAATGAGTCACCCGAGCGTCGCGGCGCCATTGGTTACGGGAGGTCAGGGGACAAAGGGCGAGTGCGACTGTGGCCGCCATCTTTGGACCGGGCAGAGGCAACTTCCGGTCCACTTTCAGGGGTGGAGTAGGAGCCCTCGCCCCACCTCCTCGGGTCTCTGGGCGGCCGGAGACCCAGGACTACCTCACCGCCCGGGGTAGCAACCCCCTCCCTTCAGTCTCCACCTCCTCAGGGCCCAAAGAAATAGTCCAGCAGGAGTTTGCAGTATAGAAAGAAGACATAGATTAATATCGAATTGGCCAATGGGGAAGCTGGCTGCAGGATACGGATTATACAGAGGGGAGTCACAAGACACCAGGGAGTCAGGCCGTTTGGGGTCATGTTGGGAGCTGACTGGTTGGAGGTGGAGTAAGAGTGATAAATCATTTCTTCAGGCCCTAAGGGCAGCACGGAGGTCCTTTCCGCGTCCCTCCGTCCCGGTAGCCAGGGGGTTGTTTCCCCTTGCTGTTCAGGAGGTGAAACATAACTTAGGTCAAGATGTTCACTTTACCCTGCCAGAGGTCTGGACCTTGTGACCAATAGCCAAGTCCCAGCTACTGTCTTCTGCTGCCTTGGGGGTTGCTGATTCTCCGGGGAAAACGTTAGGTCTCTGAGTGGAATAGACAGAAAAGGGCGGGGGAAGGGACAGAAAGAGAGAGAAAGAGAGAGATGATCTTTGGAGCTAGGACTTAAAACAATCTAATCAAATTCATAGAGACCGGTAGTTTCATTATCATCAAAGGTATTGAGCACCTTTGCTAGGTTGGGGGCGTGGTGAGGAACATAGATAAGAATTGTCCTAGTTCACATGCATTGCCTGTTTTGAAATATGGTACTTTAACTTTCTAACTTCAATTTATGAACATACGTCTGTATTCATGGTTTGGACTATGGTATATTTTTACTTAAAGTTATAAAGATCACTGTGTAGAGGCCATAATAATGCCGTGGAAAGAACTAGGGCTTCAAACTTGGTTGAAATTCTGGTTCTGCCTTTTAGTAACTGTATGTCTTGGGATAAATTACCTAACGTGTCTGAGGTTGAATTTTCCTATTTGTGAAGGATGATGTAAGTTCACTACCTAGCAGCTAATAATTCCTAAATAAACGGTGGCTGGCATCATCATTCTCAACTTAGTGGAATACCAGAGTTTGTCCTTGAGTCAAAGAAAAACATGTTTTTCTTATGAAAGAAAGTCAAAAATAACTCCATACACAGGTTCAGAATCTATCGAGAATATGAACCAAATATTTTTCTTCAATAATATTTCACTCAATTTCATCGATTTCCCCTTTCTTGTGGAATGTTTTTGGCTTGCCCACGTATTAGTTATCTATTACTGCAGAACAAATTACCCCAAACCTTAGGAGCTTAAAACAACCAAACTTTTATTACTTCACACAGTTTCTGAATGTCAGGAAATTGGATGTATTGTCCTGTGCAAATGTCCAGTAGAAGGCATTCAATCAACATGGAGCAGGTTTTCTGTATTCTGTGGACGTTGGCCTTTCCCCCACAAACACCTCAGTGCTTGCCCAAAGAAACCACATACAAAGTGGCTACTACAGGAACAGCATGGAGGTTATGCATCGCTTTGACCTCATCGACTGCCCTTCATTCCAGGCTTATCTGCCTACCTGCCAACTGCCAACTCTGAGAACCTGATAGGACACTGATCTTTGGGGGAACAAGCCGGTCACCGGGTGGCAGGTGGATTACATTAGACCCCTGGAGGAGGAGGCAACAAAATGCTTCTCAAATATAGTCCTAGTCCACATGGAGATGTGCCCTCCCTGCCTGCCGCATCAGCATCTGTTAGCTTACAGAATGCTATGTCCACCTCCATGGTACACATCTTCTCTAACCAGGGAACCCATTTTCAGTGAGGGAAGTGTGACCATGGGCCCATACCTGTGGAGTTAACTGCACTAACCATGGGCTTTGTGTTAGATGATTGTTTAAAATATTCACGCATGCTCCTCTTTCTTACACAGATATATTCTTCCCTGCTTCATTTACATAGGGTTTGGCCATGTGGATTTTCTTTGACTGCAGGATACGTGATAAAAGCAAAGGTGTCAGCTGTGCTTGTGCAGCTGAACTTATTTTCTTCTGCCATCACCAGGAGAGCACTGGTCTGAGGAAGGTGAGAATCTGCAACTTGAATCTGCACACCGAACTCAGCCACAGATTAACTGACCTCTAGATGCAAGGGTGAGACTAAGCGATTGCTGTGTTGCCTCTAAATTTTGCAGCATTTTTGTAACACAGCTTTATTGTGGCAATAATGGACAGATACATGCCCCATTACTCAGAGGCAGCTACTTGAAAGAATAGCTGAATGCTCTAATGGGAGTCAGTTATGACACTCCATGAGGGTGCCATATATATGCCTTCAACCACTAGCCTATGTAGGATGCAATCTCCTCCATAATGGGATGTGTAACATTAGTTTTTGGTATGTTCGTTGGTTTCAGAGAAGTCTCCAGGTATGTCATTTCCATGAAATAATAGAGATGTCTATGGCCTGCACTGAAGCTGTTAGGCAGGAATCTTTAGAGAACACAGCTCCTGAAGGCCATCCCCTCCACCCACTACCCTCAGTCTCTACCCCTGTAATATAAACAAAGTGGTCGGGTTGCACCTCCTCTTTCCCAGGGGCATTCATTCTCTTCTTATCTGCCCACAGCCCGCATTGCACTGGCCTGTGCTCACTGTGTCTGGTAGGTGGCCCTTACGTGTGACCACTAAATTGGAGGTGATAATACTTTCCTGGCACTTAGCACAGAGCTTTGCCCTCAGCGAGCAATTGATAATTATGTCTTAGTCTCCTTTAGTCCAGCTCCCTCCAGAAGCAAGGAGTCTTTCCTTTAATGCAGCGTTGAAAGGGGTCACTTCCAAGAACAAACTGAAGCTTATGGATGCTCATGAATAAAGGAATAAAACAAATGAATCGAATGAATGGTATTGCTCTTCTGTCTCCTCCTCCGACTCTGGCCAGCTTCCGGGCGCCCCCTTCCGGCGCTCCTCGTTGTTCTGCCCCCGTGCCCACTCTGGGTTGCCCTACTCTCTGGATTGACAGCCCTTTTCACTCCACCAGGAACCACATGCGAATCGCCTCCCTACCAGTGTCTTGACCCCCACGGGCCACCGTAGCGCGAGCTCAGGGTACGCGCCGCCGCCGCCGCCATGTCCTCTCTGGGCCATTTCCGGTTTCCTTCACCTAGTCGTGCTTCTAGGCCTGCGCAGTACACCTGCATGTGAGGAGTGCAGCGCTGGTCCTTGTAGTACTTCTCTCTCGGCGTCATCTTCGAGCAAATTTCCGGACGTCTTTAGAGCTTTCTCAAGTTCCGTTATTTGCTTCTCAAAACTGTCTTCGGAGAGAGAAGGAGCAAGTCACTGTAAGTGCCTCGAGGGCTCCTTTCTGTGTTTCCAACGCCGGGAACGGGGCCGGGAAGCTTAGTGTTCGCTTAATCAGCAAATACGTCCAACTGCCCCAAAATCTCAGTAAGCTTTAAAACCAGCTTGACGCTGCAAACGAAAAGTGAGACTTATAATTAAGGTGTAGTTATTAATTTACTGAAAACCTAACTTTCTTTTCTGTTGTAGAGTTCATTATGAACATCTAGGTTTGCTCATTAATTTCGTTCAGTGATTCCCTGGCTTTATGTTTGTGGACTGCTTGCTTGTAAGCACTTTTTCTATAATCTCATTCTAAAAAAATAACAGTGAGATGCTAAAGTACTGCCAGATGCCCACCATTTAAGGGGGTGGAATAATAATTCTGTGCAGTTGGGGCTTATCATTAAGATTCCTTGTTGTATTGCACTTGGCTTTAATTGGCTCTGCACATGTGGCATTTTGTAGAAATTGAAGGCACGACCCTCCCCCTGCAAAAAGATTATGACTGACTTTATTGTGGTGATTTGGGACAGAACCCACAATATCTCCAAGGGTATACCTGTCTGTTACTGTAGGACACAGGACTTGGTTACCCTGTTTGGGTTCCTTAACCTCTCTGAGCCACAATTTTTTTTTTTTTTCACTGTAAAATGATGATAATCCTTCTCTGGAAAGATTGCTGTGAGGGTGATATGAGATCAAGCATGCAAAAATGCCTACTATGTGCTTGGCACCTAGTGAGCCTTCTGAAGTAGGATATGTTGGGTTGGCCAAAAAGTTTGTTAGGTTTCCCTATAAGCTGGACTTAGTAGCCCTTAGTTGTGTTTAACTTCACTTGAAACAATTTTGTTAGATGATATTGTGACAGCTGCCATATCAGCATGCATTAAAAAAAAACTTACCAAAATTTGGTGAATTTTTGTGTAGCCATTTTAATACTGAAGATGGAAAGAAATAAGCAACATGTTCGGCATATTATGCTTTATTATTTCAAGAAAGGTAAAAACGCAACTGAAACGCAACAGAAGATTTGTGCGGTGTATGGAGAAGGTGCTGTGACTGATCAAATGTGTCAAAAGTGGTTTGCGAAGTTTCGTGCTGGAGATTTCTCACTGGACTATCCTCCAGTTGAAGTTGATAGTGATCAAATTGAGACATTAATTGAGAACAATCAGCGTTATACCATGGGGAGATAGCCAACATACTCAAAATATCCAAATTAAGCGCTGAAAATCATTTGCACCAGCTTGGTTATGTTAACCACTTTGATGTTTGGGATCCACAGTAAGTTAAGCAAAAAAAACATTCTTTACCATATTTCTGCATGCGATTCTCTACTTAAACATAGTGAGAACATTCTGCTTTTACAACCAGTTGTGAAGAGCAATGAAAAGTGGATACTTTACTATAGTGTGGAATGGAAGGGATTGTGGAGCAAGTGAAATGAACCACCACCAACCACACCAAAGGCTATCTTCATCCAAATAAGGTGATGTTGTGTATATGGTGGGATTGGGAAGGAGTCCTCTGTTATGAGCTCCTTCCAGGAAACCAAATGATTAATTTCAACCAGCACTGCTCCTAGTGAGACGAATGGAAAGCAGCACTTGATAAAAAGCGTCTAGAATTAGTCAACAGAAAACACATAATCTTCCATCAGGATAACACAAGACTGCGTGCTTCTTTGATGACCAGGCAAAAACTATTACAGCTTGGCTGGGAAGTTCTTTCCTCTGCCATATTTACCAGACCTTGACCCCTTGGATTTTCATTTATTTTGGTCTTCACAAAATTCTCTTAATGGAAAAAATTTCAATTCCTTGGAAGACTTCAAAAAGCACCTGGAACCATTCTTTGCTCAAAAAGATAAAAAGTTTTGGGAAGATGGAATTATGAAGTTGCCTGAAAGATGGAAGAAGGTGGTGGAACGAAACAGTGAGTGCGTTCAATAAAATTATTGGTGAAAATGAAAAATGTGTCTTTTATTTTTACTTAAAAGCTGAATGAACTTTTATTAATAGTTAATCATTGTTATTCTTTTGTTCCATGATCCTGCATGCATCCAACCTTTAAGCCTTCAACCAGACTGCTGAGGGCTGCCAGTGCACCTGCCCCATTCCCCACCTTCCCCCACCCCTTCACCCTGGAGAATTCTGACTAGAGTCAGAATGTCTCAGACTGTGCAGATCTTTTCCACTGCTCCAGCTCTCAGCAAGTGACCAGTCTTTTTCCATCATGCCATTACATAGGAGCTCTCTGACAGTCCTCCCATAAAACCCTTATACTTTCCTGCTTCAGTGCCCATCCTTTCTTTCTAGTACAATGCAGTAGTGTCCTCCTTCCTGTGTTCTGGATCCTTCTCAGCTCTCCAGTGAAATCTCTACACTCCAACCAGGGTGGTCACTTACACCAAATCATTTTCACCTTGGAGCTGGCAACCTTCCATGTCTTACTTTTGCTCTCAGGATCCGCCCCAATCCCCCTACATGCTCGCCAGGCTGTATGTGCCCTGGCAAGTCATTGCTTCCTAAAAGCACAATTAACATTAGCCTGTGTGAATTTCTTCATTGCATTATTTTGGGTACAGTGTGGGATTTGGGGTAGCCTTTGAGAAAAGTGAAGACAGTCAAATGGAGGAGTTGTGTCCTCTGAGCAATGAGGAAGAACTCCTGATTAGTTTGAAGAACATTCGTTGCATCAGTTTAGCAAGAAATGAGGCTCTTAAGGCTGAGGCCCTGCTGATGATTTATGAAGTTTTTTGCTGTTGGAACAGGCCATGAAAGTATTTTCATCACAAGCCACAAAATCCTGAGATATATCCCAGTCTTGGACAAGCCTGGCTAATTGAAAAGAGCTCTTCTTGGTCCACATTTATTTAAAATGTTTGCAATGAATCTTGATGCAAGTTTTCCAGACACTTGAACCAAAACTCTATCTTTAGAAATAGTCCTTAGTGATACATTTATTAAACTCTTCCATCAGCATACATTTATTTTCCTGTTGGTCACACAAAATTTTAAGGAAGCTGAAGGCAGGGGGGAATCCCAAAGCCAATGGTAACCTGAAACCTCCTATAGGATTTCCATAGACTGGCTTATTACGCACCTTGGCTCAGTGGAAACACTTTAGAATGAAACTGCAAGATGACTCTCAGTGGGCAAATGGTATTTGTCTTTTCTCCTGTCTAAAAGCAGTGTCTCTTGAAGTATAAATGATACACAGGCATCCCTTGTTGATAGTGCAGGTTTGGTTCCGGAGCACCACAAAAAAGTATCACACCAAAGCAAATCACACTAATTTATTGGTTTCCTAGTGCATATAAAAGTTGTATTTACACTATAGTCTATTAAGTGTGCAGTAGCATTATACCTAAACAAACAAACCCCAACAGTGTACATAACTAAATTGATAAATACTGCCAAAAAATGCTTAACCCTCATCTGAGTCTTCAGTGAGTTGTAATCTTTTTGTGGTGGAGTGTCTTGCCTTGATGTTGATGGTTGCTGACTGATCAGGTGGTGGTTCTTGAAGGTTGGCTGGCTGTGGCAAATTTGCCACATCTATGGACTCTTTCTCTTATGAACGATTTCTTCATAAGGTGTGAAGCTGAAAGCAGTAGACCCACAGTAAAACTTCTTTCAGAATTGGACTTAATCCTCTCAATTCTACCACTGCTTAATCAACTAAATTTATAAATCCATACCATCTGCCTTTAAAGCTTGATCACCTTTTCTCAGTCATTTCTCCCCTAACACATTGCACTCTGCCCCTAACTTTATTTCTCACCACCAGAGGACCCCTACGTTGCTTTGGAAACCTTGCAGGCCTAGATTTTCATGTCATATATGCAACTGTAAAATAAATAAGCCAACTTAAAAGATATTTGAAAAGATTACACTTTCCAAAAATTTTACTAAATCATTTATTTTTTAAACAAAAATATACATTAAATCTCAGATTTACAGAATGTAGAAATAATTTATCCAAAGCAATTTGCATTTTAAAATTGTTATTGCACCCAGCAACATAAGTCTTTGACACATTTGCATTGTCGACCTTTCCCACAATTCGCAAAACAGGAGAGAAATCTGAAACTGAGAATTACACAAGCTAACTTTTCTTTACACACACACACAAAACAACTTACAATTTTTTATTTACAAGATAAAGAGAAGTTGTAAACTTTCAGATATTTGCTTCCATAAAGAGCCATACATTCTTTCATCATACCAAGAAGATGAACTATGTACACACTGAGATCGAGGAATTCAGTGAGACAGATAATGTGAACGTTCACAGCCTAAAGAACGGAATTACTGAAAACACTTATGCATCCTCACTAAAACATGGAAACTCTGAAAGACCTGGAATGAAGAAATCTTCTGGAAAAATAACTTTTGCCTCTCAGTCCTAGAAATGTGGCTACCAACAGCCTTTTGTCTTAAGATATCACAAGTGAAAAAGAGGTCTCTGTTCAAGTCTCATAAAATACTTTACATGTAGGCAGGCACAAAGTTTGCTTTTCAAAAGAAAGCTTTGCAAAATATTCTGCAATTTATCACTGATATCCTCAGTTTTTTAAAGCTTTTTAAAAAGCCCATAAATATTTAAGTGCTTTTTTTTTTTTTAAATGAAAGTGCTACAAGAAGTAGCTAAACTAATATGGAATGGTAAGAGTAACGGTATGTAATGTGCTATTTTAACCTTGTAGTAAATGGAAACAAACTGAAACCTTGTACTTAGGAAATCCGAACTAATTTTCCTTGATTGAATTGAATTATTAAACCAATTTGAGAACAGGAAACCATGCAGCACACTGACAACTCTGAAAAAGTTGTGGACCACTGAGCTTCCAGGTGATGAACATTCAGGAACCTTTTGTCATTACCCTTGTAAATAAAAGATCTCTGGGAAATTGTAGTTGAAGATCCCAGGCTGAAAAATCGAACTCGATTTTAATAATTCAATACCATTTGAATTGAAATACAGGGTATTTTCTAATTCTGTAGTCCTAGATTGAGACTGGGTTAAAAAGTTCCCTTTGAATCGTAATGAACATAAACAGTTGAACAATCGGACTTTTAAAAAAAGGTATTCTTGGCTTTGCTATTGCTTAATAGTCCCATCCAAGTAGTTTGTCATCAAGGTTATGTCTTCAAAGTCCTTGTGACAAGTTCAATCTTTAAAAAATAGTCCTGAGAGTTTTATAAAAAAATAGACATCTCCGTGCGCCCGCCTGGCGGCGGCCAGCGCGCAACCGAGCCTCAGCTCTCCGCAGTCCGCCTGTACTCGGCATTGCCGTCGGCGATGATCGCGTCCAGGGGCGCGCGCTTCTTGCGGATGTTGCGCCCGGTGGAGATGAGGTCCGCGTAGCCCCTCTGGTGTGAGAAAGCGTAGGCCGAGCGCCGCGAGGACGCCCCGCGCCGGAACACGTTCGGCCGCCGCTTCCACTGCTCTTCCGCTTTTAATCGTTTGCGGTGCTTCTGAATCTACAGAGGGAGAGAGACGCGACAAGGCTAAAGGGAACTGGCTGACGGAATGGAGATGCAGGCCTCTAATGGCAGAGGAAGCCTGGCCGAAAGGAGGGGGGCAGGAGCGAGCATGAATGGGGCAGCTAGACCGGGCTTACCCACACCATGTTGGCGTTGGGGTATGGCGAGGGGGACGGACACATGGGGTCGGGGGAAGAGAAAGAGAAAGGAAGGCTATGTACAGTTTCCAAGGTCTTGGAGCTGGAAGATGGGGAACCTCAGCTACTAAGCTCTACTCTTTCCAGTTCTGGAGACTGGTTCAGGTTCAGGAGAAAATTCTTCCCCTTGCTGCTACTGGATTCACTTGTCAGTGGTCCGTGGAAAAGGGAGATCCAGGGGTTACTGCAGGTTGTCTGCTTAGCACCTACTCTCTGATGGAAACTGAGTTTATCCAGAACCCCACTCTGCTATACAGCCTTGTTCCTGCTGGGATGTAGAAGCCATTCCGAGGTGGCACTGACTGATATCCCTTGCTCTTTACTAGGCCACCAATGGGCATATGACCTAATTCTGGCCTATGAGACTGGAGGGAGGCATGCGGGCCCTTCCATGTAAAGTTCCCAGGCCCCTGAGGGAAAGTGATAGAGGAATCCGCTGGATATGGACATGTTGGCATGTGATGCCCGGAGCTGCTGTAGAGCTGCCCTTGGCTTCAAGATGAAGGTCATAATGAAGATAGTAGAGGGGAAAGATGGAAAGAACCTCAGTACTTTTTAATGACATTAAGTTGCTCATCAACATAGCCTGAAGGCTGCTAACCTATTAACCCCAACCTAAAACACCCCAACCTAATATTTGCATGGCAGAATGTTAATAGAGTAATTGTTAAATCAATAGGATAGCTATATGGGGATTCTAGACTAGTCTCCCTTTTATGTTTGGTAATTTTTGTAATAAAAAGCAAGCAAACAAAAATGCGCTTCCCAAAGGACTTCTTTGCAAGATGGAGTTAGAGAAAGAGGTGTAGTCATTAAAGGTATTCACTCTAAACTTCCCACAAGTTTAGAATTGTGTAGGAAAGCTGTTTTTGGGAAATGCTTTTTTGATTTGTGAGAGGCACTCAGAGTTAAGAGAAAGATTTGTTTTTTCCTATACCTTATCACTTTCTGATGGCCAAATGGTCATTGACAAGAAACGGATGGCGACGACGGGCAGTAAGCACACTGCAACGGTCAAAATGATGGTCAACCAAATGTATGGCTGTCTCAGGGCATTTGAAGCTGTGCCTGTAGGAAGAAGGAGAAGGCGTCACAGGGGTACTCTCATCCTCAGGGCGTAGTTCCTGGTTCACAGTCTGTAGTTGGATTCTTTGTGGTGAAGCTTTGCAGCCAGGTTACCCTCCCAAATCATCCCATCACTGCTCAAGGAATCAGCATTTGAAAATCAGATTAGGCAAAACCAGACTTGGAAGGTAAATTCTTTGGAACAAGGCAAGTGTGCATA